CACCTGCGTAGCCTTCCCGGGCATTGCTTGACGCCTTCCCGGTCTTCTCCCAGGGCCTTCCCGGTCTTTCCTCGAAGCCTTCCCGGTCCTTCCTGGACGCCTTCCCCGGCCTTCCCGGTCTTTGCTCGACTTTCCCCGCAGCCTTCCCGGTCTTTCCCCCGCAGCCTTCCTGGTCTTTCCCCGGTCATTGCTCGACACCTTCCCCGTCTTCTCCCGGGACCTTCCCGGTCTTTGCTCGACGCCTTCCCGATCCGCCTTCCCGGTCTTTCCCCGGCGGCCTTCCCGGTGTTTGCTCGGCGCCTTCCCGGTCATTGCTCGACGCCTTCCCGGTCTTCTCCCCGGGCCTTCCCGGTCTTTCCTCGACGCCTTCCCGGTCCTTCCTCGACGCCTTCCCTGTCTTCTCCCGGGGCCTTCCCGGTGTTTGCTCGGCGCCTTCCCGGTCATTGCTCGACGCCTTCCCGGTCTTTGCTCGACGCCTTCCCGGTCATTGCTCGACACCTTCCCGGTCTTTCCCCGCAGCCTTCCCGGTCTTTCCCCGCTGCCCTCCCGGTCTTTCCCCGCAGCCTTGCCGGTCATTGCTCGATGTCTTCCCGGTCTTCTCCCGGTGCTCGACTCCTGCCCGGTCATTGCTCGACGCCTTCCCGCTCTTTCCCCGCAGCCTTCCCGGTCTTTCCCAGCCTTCCCGCTCATTGGTCTTTCCCTCCACAGCCTTCCCGGTAATTGCTCGATGTCTTCCCGGTCTTTAACGGAGCCTTCCCGGTCTATGCTCGACTCCTTCCCTGTCATTGCTCGACGCCTTCCCGGCTCCCAAGGCCTTCCCGGTCTTTGCTCGACGCCTGCCCGACGCCTTTCCGGTCTTTCCCCACAGCCTTCCCAGTCTTCTCCCGGGGCCTTCCCGGTCTTTGCTCGACGCCTTTTCGGTCATTGCTCGACACCTTCCCGGTCTTTCCCCGCAGCCTTGCCGGTCTTTCCCCGCTGCCCTCCCGGTCTTTCCCCGCAGCCTTCCCGGTCATTGCTCGATGTCTTCCCGGTCTTCTCCCGGGGCCTTCCCGGTCTTTGCTCGACGCCTGCCCGGTCATTGCTCGACGCCTTCCCGCTCTTTCCCCGCAGCCTTCCCGGTCTTTCCCAGCCTTCCGGTCATTGGTCTTCCCCTGCAGCTCTCAATCTTTCCCCGCAGCCTTCCCCGTCATTGCTCGATGTCTTCCCGGTAGATAGGTGTTGTCGACGGACGACCGGCCATCGACAGTTTGGGGCTGATGCACTGTCGATTTCGTACGTGTCATGACTTTTCCCTGTAGGCAGCTTGCGTCGATGGACGACCGGCCATCGACATCGCCAAAGTCAAATGGGACTGGCACCAACCCCCTTGGCTTCCCAAGCTGTGTGTCAGTTCCCCGCAGCCTTCCTTTGCTCGACGCCTGCCCGGTCATTGCTCGACGCCTTCCCTGTCTTCTCCAGGGTCTTCCCAGTCTTGGCTGCTTCCTTGAGGCCTTCCCGGTTTTTCCCCGCAGCCTTCACGGTCATTGCTCGACACCTTCCCGGTCATAGACACCTGACTGACTAGCGATGGCAGCGTGGCACTTTCTCCTGGTGCTTGAAGCATACTTTGGTCGCCTGCTGTCACAAGTAAGTGAATTCCATGGTCATAAATAAGGGAAGTGATGGCAGCGTGGCACTTTCTCCTGGTGCTTGAAGCATACTTTGGTCGCCTGGTCACAAGTAAGTGAATTCCATGGTCATAAATAAGGGAAGTTGATGGACAAATATAAGCAAAATGCGCATGGTCAGAAATAAGTGAAAACTATGGCCATTTTTGAGTGCCGAGCCGCGAAAGCAAGGACACATTGTTCCACTTGCATCTTCCCCATGATTTCAGTTGCTTTAGACAGCTGTCGTCTCTTTTGCTACGACTTCACACACCTTGGCAGGGTTGGACAACATTTAACGCACAGGTGCAGCTAGACTGGTGGATGCCGCTCTTGCAATCAACGCTTGGCTCGATGGTGATAGCTTCTCTCTCGTGACAGGCTTGCTCATGCAAGGTGATCAACATGTGCATAGATAAGCTGCCAGGATCTGGCAGCAGCAGCGGCGGCAGCCTTTTCGGAGGAGGTCAAGTTGCCAGTGGGGAAGTTGGCAAGGTACGGGGAGGCGCACATTCACCTTTGAGATTTGGACATGTCCAGTTTTTTAGGTGCCCAGTCATGCAATGGGTCCCTTGGTCAGGGTCCCCGCCTGGGAAAAGGTAGCAGAGCATCGGGACCATTTGCTATCAAATCGGCATTCCATTCCCATTCCTTATGTCGAGCCAGACTAACAATTCAGTCACAGCACACATCTGAGAAAGACAATTTGATTGAAACGAGTCTTTGACTCGATGAGCCGACTGGGGTGACATGGCCAGTGGCATGCATTGTAATTTTTGATCTTACACGTCGATTGTCATACAGATTTCATGTTTGATGCCTTCCAACTCAGGACATCAACAAGATGAACCACAGATCAACAATTTGGTGGAACCAATACCTTAAGCTGGGAGATGCTAAGACCCCCTAAACGACTTGTGGTTTGCCAATGGTTAAAACCACTCCCAGCACAGTGCTGGGGGCTGGTAGGAGCTGCGCCAGCCTCATCCGGTGGCAGTCTTTTCGGCGCCAGCGGAGGAGAAGGGGGGGTGGCCAAGACATTTCCGAGTTTTGTGCATCTTGTTGCTCGTTATCTGAGGTTTTAGCCATGAAAGGAGGATAAGCATCTGATAACGTAGCGGCAGAATGTGCTTGAAACAGGGCCATGGCAAATGCAGCTCTCTGCTTTTCAAGTGCAGTTTCCCGCGAGCTGTGTCACGGCCCGGCGCGTGTCGGGGAGGGATTTGCCTGCGTCTTTGTGTGCTGCCTTCTTTTTGCAGAGTGTGCGTGGCCGCACTCTCTCCCCCCCTCTCTCTCTCTCTCTCTCTCTCTCTCTCTCTCTCTCTCTCTCTCTCTCTCTTTCTCTCTCTCTCTCGCACTCTCTCGTTCTCTCCCTCTCTCTCTCTCTACTGTTCCTTTGCGTTTGCTTTCATTTGAGTGGATCAACATGATGTTGACTGGTTCACTGTCATGATTCACCAGCTTGGTTCAATAGACGCCTGAATTGGAGGTCATTTGTGCACGTCGGCACTGCTCCATCGCCAGTCTAAGATGGATATCAGCCACGTCGGGCTCCCTTTTCATCTACAAGTGGTCGATGGGTCATGATTTTGATCTCCAACCTCTCGGCTTCGAGGAGGTTCCGGGGGCTCCATCTTCGGAGGTGGGCATGTGGCGCATGTGGGGGGCCATGGGGCACGGGGCACAGGAGCCGGTACCTCGAAAGGCAATGGCTATGGCGGGCGAAAGATGCCCGGGACACGTGTGTTTTCTTGGGCCAGGGACAAGCGTTCACTTGTTTTGTGGAGATCAGGCTCTCTGTTTTGGGGGGGAGTCCGAGGTTTGGCATGGTAATGGGGCTGGTTGCCCTTGCGTCGAGGATGTCTTTCGGGCACTGGTTCGTGAATCAGAATCGGCTTGTTTTCTAGTGTTTCGTTCCTTTGCTTTGCCTTGAATGTTCCTCAAGGCCTTGTATCATTTATTCCTGGACCATGGTATGTGCTTCTTCTCCTGAATGTAAAGCAAGTGTGCTTCTGAAGGTTTGATTGGATTTGAAGCTTGACGAAAGAGATCCACGTTTGGGGCTGGCGCAGATACGAGAGTCTAGTGAGAGCAGGGTGGCATTGCACATGGATTCCTAGTGTAAATTTTCAGGCGCTCAGAAGGTGAGGGCACCATATCTACTGGACGAGCAAGTTGGGCCTTGAAATCCAATTCATCGGATTTCGAACGCATGGTCCTTAGATTGGCTTTCTTGCCTCCACAACTGGCTGTGGGTCAAGAATGGGTACCCAAAATGGCTTGCCCTGGCAAATAGACACATGGAAACCTGTGGTCCCCTGGGTTTAGTTTTGACCCACCGCCTGAGAGAAGCGAGAGAGCACCAGACAGGTGCCAGCTCTGGGGGACTCTTTGGAGGCCCGGGCCAGTGAAAGCCAGGTTGAAAGCCCCCGGGCCGTTCCGGGCAACGGTCCACGTAGACGTTTCTTTTCTTTTTTTCTTCTCCCCCCTTTTTTCCCCCCCTTCTTTTTTCCTTGTTCGTTTCCTCCTCTCTTTTTTTTTCTTTTCTCGCAGAACGTTTGTTTTTGTTGCGGGGTTCATAGAGACCACCTGGGAGATCTCTTCGATTTCTGAGGGAGATGTTCCAACCTTTTTTTTTCCCTCCCAAAACAAAAACAGCCATGCAGTTTTAGAAGGGTCTTGTAGCGGGTTCTGAGAGTTTCCAATTGTGGGCAAAAATCGCGAAGTGGACAATGTCATCGTTCTGACCACCTATGGTTACACTTCAACTTACATTTAGCCTGTGGACGAAGCCTACAAGTTTCTTATCATATGTTTTCGGGCTCGGCGCACTTCATAGATCAGAGGCGGACAGTACAGCTAAATTTGTAGACGTTTGCCGGGCCTGGTAGAAAGATCGCATTCTAGCGTCGTGCTCATCAGACGATTTCTCGATGTTCCGCTATTGTACAGGAATCTCCCTTTTTTGGTGCTGATGTCCTAGTTTTTCATAGGCCTCTTATGGCAACTCCGCCACTTGAATCGCCGACACAGCTGTGCTGGGTGCGTTGGTCCGCAGCGGCCCTGAAAAGAGGGCTCAAGACGGTAAATTGAAGATGTCGCGATGGAGTTCTCAGATGATTTTTCTTGGCTTGGAGTTGCTTAAGGTGCTTTGCTATTTGAGTCTGTGATGCTCACACTAATTTGTGCATGCTTTCTTTTTTTGTTTTCCCAAACCGCCCATACCCATGCATGGAGTTTTGGACTTCTTTCTGAAGTTTATCATTTTTGGTGCCTCTTGAACGGCTTCAGACTTTCAACAAGAGATTTCATGTAAAGAACCTCTAGACCAAGCCGGGTGACCCCGCCGCCGCCATGTGCTGGTCAGCAGAGGTTGCGGGCACTTTCTCTGCTTTGCAGCAGCTCAGATGGACTTGCATGGGTGCAGATGTTTCATTGTTACCTATTGCTTTGGGTCAAAACCCGGGTATCACCTGTCTCCCAAAATGACCCGAATAGTTTGTTTGGGCATGTTGCGATTGTTGTCTTGGTTTTGACCCACAGCCCTGAACATCTCGGGATGATTCTTTTTGGCTTCAGCACATCGAGGAAAACTGCCTCCTAAAGTTAAGGCTTCGCTATTGACGATGCCTCGGACTTTTTGAATGATGAAACGATAATTGTCCGTCTCATGTCATGGAGCGAGGGAGACGGCGAAGGAACAACGCCTGCAACCCGTGGTGTTTGTTTCTCTTCGTGCCAACGCCATGCTGGCACAATGATGTGGCCGATCCTATGGAGTTGATTTCAGCTCTTCGTTTCTCTTTTTTTCAGCTGAATTCTTGCTCTGAGGTTTGGTGTGTTCGTCTATCTCTTCATCCGCAACAAGCACTACGACAGATGGTATTGTCTGTCTTTGGCCCCGGTGATGACACAGGAGTTTTGCCAAATGATGTTGTGGCTCGACATGGCTTATGCTTAGACTCCAGAGTCACCTGCTTGATTGATCCAAACAATATTTACTACTGGATATTGATTACGTACCAACAGTTAGCAAATCTTTCACAGAAGATGCATCGCCTGCAGCATATGTATATATATATATATATATCCATATACACGCTCCACTAGAGTGCCAACGGTTAAACCATATGGACGGGAGACGAAGCCGCCTAAGGTGGCTCAACGTGGGAGAGTCCTTGTATTCCTGCAATGACTCCAACAAGGCCTGGTCCATCGCAGCCGCCATGTGCTGGCGATTCGTGACCTCGGGCTTCTATTTGACAGCTTTCTCAAAGCTCTACAACGAAAGGCTTGGGAGTTTCCAAGACATAAGATGCTTAAATGCATGTATATATATATATATATACATGCATAGGTGCAATGTGCATCTGTATTCCCATCTATACATATATATATATATATACATGTATGTGTGTATATATATATATATACATCATGAATCTCCGAACTTGGGGTGAATTATGGCAGTTGTTTGTCCCGGGATCTCTGACACGGAGATCCAAGCAGGTGGCGGAAGATTGTCTTTTTCATCGTCACGTGCTTGGCCGTGTCAGGCTACGTTGCAGACATAGTGAATCGCATTTGGGGCATTGAACACTATTGCAGCTTGGATTAGCTTAAGATGACTTTGATTTTGTCCTGAGTGAATCTCCTTTCGGGTTTCTTTTTTGATCTTTCTTCGGGTGTCTGAGACGACGCAAATCCAAGGCAGCTACCCTGGCCTTTGCGGCCACTTGTTGTGGGGTCCCGACACCGACACGAGCATCTTCGATCCATGGGTGCAGGTGGTGTACTACCTCACGTACCTGGGACCTTTGCCCGTGTTGGCCTTCCTGGGGAAGTTCGATGATCTTCGGTCACTTCCATGCTGCAAGGAAGGGTCAAAATGGGGATAGATGAGCAGCCGAAACATAGCTTCTGTTGATGTAGGGATCACTAGGCAAACCGGATTTTCAAGAGCCAACAAGGACAGCACCAAGGGATATTGGTCTGGTCTGGGGATCGTGGTGATCGGTGTCGGCACCTGGGCTCCCACATTTCTCTACTTCAATGTGGTAGCCAAAGACCGCTGCGACGCGGCGGAGTGGAGCTCCGTTTGGTGATGGTCCTGTTCAGCGCTGTGTTTCTGGTACTTGTTTGAGATGCGTCTCTACACGCTGCTCGTGGATCCTGCGTGGACACCCGCCGCCTCGAGCGCGGAGTACGATGAGGTCGCAAAACCATAAAAAGGTGGACAGCACCATGGCCCTATCCGCGGAGAGCTTGTCATTTTTTTTGCCTCGCGGGCGGACCTGCATTTGTGGATGCTGGATGTTAGAACCTATAGGAGTCTCAGTCATGTTCATGTCCTCTTCTTTTCGAGTTTCCGAAGCCCAAGGTGCTTCAGTTTCTTCTCCAGTGCTTCTTCGCCTGTGACGGTTCGGCAGAGTTCATTTGCCGCCCGGAGATGCGGAAGAAGCTGTTGGGGAAATAGAGCACCGATGCATCACACAAGCTTGATGTTTAGCCGGTGCGACGAGCGAAGAAGGAAAAATACAATCAAGGGTGGGAGGATCCAGTCTAAGTCCAATGTTGAAACAAAAGTCATAGACCCTGCGTCAAGAATTAACTTGCGTTTTTTGGCACCTGAAGTAGATACAATTGTTTTTTGACTCCACTCCCCTCCCCTCCACTCCACTCCACTCGACTCCGCTACACTCCACTCCACTCCACTCCACTCCGGTCCACTCCACTCCACTCCACTCCACCCCACTCCACTCCACTCCACTAAACCCAACTCAACTCAACTCAACTCAACTCAACAACTCACTCAGTCACCATGCTGACTTTAAAGAGGTGAATGATTTCTTCAATGCCATTGCAATTGATAAGCATCACCAAGTTGACTGGGAACAGGAGACGAGTCTTTTCTTTGCCCCAATTGTTGGAGAGGCTTCAAATGAATTTCTGCGAGTATTGCGGACATTCGGTGAGTAAGGAACCTACGTGAGCAAAGAGCCCGAGCAAGTTGGGAAATCTCAACACATGCTTTTCAAGCACAGCCCGCGTGTAGGTTCCCGTCTTGGGTTTGTTGGATGCCGTCAGGATCGGCAGGGGCCAGCTCGGGTGCCGCCTTTGGAAGTGGAGGCGGACCGTTGGTTTTGGGTTTGGGGTGAGTTGAACTTCCTCAAGCTGGGCTTGTCATGGACAGATCCTTGTTTGTCACTTGTATCGAGATAGCAGATCAGGGGCCTAGCACCACAGCTTGATGTTTGGACAGGTTCGAGCTTTTGTTGTCATCATCATCGTCACCACCACCACGACTACCACCACCACCGTCCTCCTCCTCCTCCTCCTCCTCATCATCATCATCATCATCATCATCATCATCATCATCATCATCATCATCATCATCATCATATCATAGGACACCTCATCCTCATCCTCATCCTCATCCTCATCCTCATCCTTTTCCTCTTCGTCATGTTCATGGTCATGGTCATCGTAGTCACCGTCCTCGTCCTCGCCACCGTTGCCGTCATCGTCACTATCACCATCACCAGTATAGTCGCCATGTTTCGGTGTTGCATCCGTAGAGCGAGAGGGAGAGACTCAGAGAGATAGTGAACCTCTAACCATGCCTTATATACCCTGACAAACAGGGGATATTGAGATACATTTAAGGCGGACAAACAGGTCAGAGTTTACATGCATTTTTCAATTGCATGGAGAAGTTGTATGGGGACTGATCGAGCCACTGCCCCATCCGTGTCAGCTCGTGCTCGCACGAATCCTGTCTCGGACACGATGGTGATTGAAGTAGGTAGCCAGGGTTTGCCGACTGCCGAGCCTGTTTGAGCTTATGGAGCTACTTGAGCCGCCATGCGTGTGGACAGCCAAAGCCATGTGCTTGCTTCAAGAATACAAGACTTCAAGACGAATGAAATTTCTATAAACTCAGATCCTCTCCTGCCGCTGCATCGAGGGAAGACCATAGCAAACCTGGCTGGTGAGTTCTGAATGTTGGCTTGGGCTTGCTGCTCTCAGGAGCCGCTGGCTTTGCTGCGAGCGCGAGCGGCGCGCCTCCCGAGAACCAAGGGGTCATTTCCTGATCTCGGTCGGGCCCAAATCAGAGTCTCCAAGATCTGGACGCCCCCGGCATTCGATAGTGGTTTGCAAGGGCTCAATACAAGAGTTTGTGAAGCTTCCATAAGTTAATAAGGTGCATTGCAACGCGTAAATTTTACACGGGGAAGAATTGTTCAGGATGCTGCAAGCTGACCAACCCGCATGTGCAGTCTGAGTCGGGCTGACAACAACTAAGTCAATCATAGGATGATCTTTGTTCCCTGCTTTGGACCCGATCAGTGCAAAGCACAGCAGTCACAGGACTTGAGCTCTGGACTTGCAGCACGCGCAGTGGCGGTAGCTTTGGAAGGCTTCAAGCAGTGAACGAAGGGCTGGACAGACATGAGAGGTCGCATTCGGGGTTTCAGGTGCGGAGCTGGCGCAGGCGCGCGCCACGGTGGTGGAGCCGCTTGGGCTTGGAACGCTTTTAGGAGGGCAGGGGGTGAGAAGGGATGCGGGCCTGACATCTCAGGATCAGAAGCGCAATTTGTTGTGAGCACGAATTTGGAACCCTGCAAGGTCCCCTTTGAGCGATTCTGGTGCACCGTGACCCCATACATGTAATTCTTTACACAAATTACTCTTGGTTCGCTGTGTCCTGGGAAGTTGAGATGTGGCGCCAGTGCTGGATTGGCCCCCAGCCCAGGCACCGCAAGGTTAGCGACCTGATGCAAATGTGGGAGGAGCGGATCCACAAGCAGGCGGGGCTGACTTTGGTCGAAGTTCCGGAAGGCAACACTAGAAATGGCCCGCAATCCTTGATTCCATCTTTTTTCGTTTTGAGTTCCGACATGTGCTTGGACGAACCCGTCGGAATGAACAGTGGTCAACGCAAGCTATGTTTGGATAAAGGATGGGCAGACATGGACTTCGTAGCGGTTTCTGCGCCTCATGAAAGGAATTTGTGACTTCCCCGGAGTTTTTGGCCAGCTATCAGCACAGGAAGTTCCGATCTGTTCCAGATCACAATCATGACTTGTTTTTGGTGAAGGTTTGCCCTCCATTGCCCCAGCGAGCTTTCAGCAAAGCATCAACGCACACCTTGCCAGACTGTTTTGGGCTTGTTCTCTGCTGATACGTCAACCAACGGAATCCCAGTCTAAGAGTTTTGAGCCCTCAGTCGAGAGGTCTCCTCGCCTGTTGGTTGTGTCAGATTTGGGAGGAATTGAGTGGATTTGCAGTCTTGATACGCATGCTTGTAGTTCGATGTTCTCACAAGCCGGGCTGTGATAACATTGAAGTCTCCCACTTTTGCATGGGTAGACATGGGGGAAAAAAAGCAAACAAAAACACTTGGAATGGGGGAGGATATCTTTCTACCCAAACGACAATGTTTATCGAAGGATTCCTTGTGCGAGATGTTTTTACTGCTTCCTCCATCAATTACAAGAAGCTTGAACTTAGCGACTGCTGGAACATGCCAGTTGCATTTGATTTCTGATCCCGCCCCGGTTTTCTGAAGTCTCACCAGCTTGGTATGAGCGGTGGGTTGTATCACTGGCCGATGCCCCCAGGCGCAACACTTTGATGCCGGCGCCCGAGACGCCCCGTTGAAAGGCGACGCTTACCTTTTGAAGAAGTTCTTGTTGCTTTGGCCTCACGTGTCTACAAAGTCGTCTTGAACTGGCAACTTGCAATGTGTGTCGGGGCGCGGCTCCGCTTTCGGCAATGTGGAAAACAGGTCACTTGTGAATCGGTTTGAGGGGGATCCTGGGCCAAACCTTGGTTTTCAAACCGGGGCTTTCCTCTTTGCCGCAATCCGGTCGCTTTCTCGTTTGAAGCAATCCGATCTTCTCTCCTGGGCCCACGTGCCATGTTGCCTCAGTCTTTTTCAGCCCAGAGCTCAGGCCTTTGCGGAGCAGGTCCTGCGCTTTGACTGCGACCTCATCGCCAATGCCGCGAAGGTCAAGGTGCGGCGCTGACTTGACCCCGGTGGAAGTCTGTCAACGGTGCTGAAGTGCGTGGGTCGCGGTTGGGATGGCTCCCAACCAGGGAGCCATATTCTTTGCTCGCTGGCTCAGACTTTTACGGCGACAGTCTTGCGGAAAGAATTGTAAATGGATGCTTTACATTCGCAGGGGGGAGCGATCTTGGTTGCATCATTGCCTACGTTCGCCCACTGCAAATTGCCAGATGCATTCTTGAGTGACAGCTGAGTGCTCATGCGGTCGCAACTCAACGTGTCCGTTTCCGTCAAAGCAACTTAATCCAGTCTTGTTTAGATCCCCTTTCAGCTGGTTCGGAAATCATAGCAGCTGTCAGGCAGCGCAGCTTGTTGCAGATGCCTTGCCGCTTGGAGGTGCTCCGGGAAGAGCACGGCCAGCTGAAGGGGCGCCAGGAGTTGGTGGACCGGCCCGAGGCCCAAGGGAGCTGCAGCCATAGCTACAGATCGTGTGGCTTTGGTTCTTCCGGCGTGATTCCGAGGAAAACCGTCTTTTGCAATGGGGGGAAATCCAGTGGAGGTGCCAGTGTCAAGGAACTGCGTCACCAAGAGACTCCCAGTGTCAGAGCTCTCTGGATGAGAGCCAAGCGAGCATTGGTGTCCTCAACATGGACTTGCATTTGCGTCTACTGCCATTGCCGCATTCAACTCGCTCAGCACATTCCCCCGCTCTCACTTGGGTCCTTGTTGCACATGCAGTTGCACTATGGACCCCGTGTCATGGGCTTGTAAAGCGCAAAGCATTGTTAAGCGCCCTGCACATGCCAGGTGTGGGCCGAAATGTGTTTGTACCACGTGTTTTGTGGCAACTGCTTGGCAACTAGGTTCAGACATGCACCTGAAGAATCGGGACTCATGAGTAGTTCAAGACCATTCGTCTTGCTTCCACAACCGCATGCATCAACTGCGATCTCGGCTCTGTGTAGAATGTATACTTGTGGTAGTCGAGTACCGCAATTTGTCAGTGATTGTGGTGGAGGCAATCCTGTCCAGCTTCTAGGGATGCACATATATGTTCAATAGATGAGCGCAGATGGGTCTTCCAAGTTGCCTTTTGCATGTTCAGACCATGCTCCTTCTCTTCTCTGATTCATGGGACGGCTCAATAAACTGACCCATTTGGAACCTTGGCATCCGGTGAGGTCGTTGCAGCAGATTTGGGACCAGCAGGCCCGAGAGATCGTGGGCACTCCATACGAAGCACCTTAGAAGCACAAACCCTTATTCACAACTAAGAAATCTTTTGGGCGTCCCCTAACGGCACGGCCACTCCTTTTTTCTTTTTTTCTTCTTTTTTCCAAGCAGATGCTTGTGGACACGCGCGGGCACTCACCACCACACAGCAAACAGGACTTTTATGTGTCCGTATACATAAACAACAGATACTGGGTAGGGAACATCAAATTTACTTCTGCCAATCCTTCATTTGGTGGCTAAAGTTATTTTGATCGGTATTTCCCGTCCCAGCAGCAGAATGCCGTTGCCAAGTTGCAGCTTGCAATGCTCAGTGCACATGTCTGATAATTGCTTCATGAGTTGAAGTGCCCCGATGTGTCAACTGTCGCAATTGACACAGTCACAGTCACCTGACCAGCGGGTCCTGGCAAGTTGTTCTTGCGAGTTCAATCGAAACTGAGCAAGTTGTTTGAACAGCACCAATTCATGATGCTGCAAAGAGCCTCTCCTGCTACAGCACCTTTCACGTTCATGTGAGCTGTGCGAAGCGTATGCGATGTGCCAGGACTCGCTGGGCCGATTGCTGTCTGGGATGTTGGAGGCGTGTGGGCAGGAGACGGCCTGAAGGAATTTGAGTTCCAAGGGTACCATGGTTTCTTTTTTCCAACCAACAGCACCAGGGGCTGGTGAAGCGACAACAAACAGGATGCTTGGCGCAGACCTGAAGAGTGCGTTTCGGGATAGGGAGCCAGTTGGAGTTGAACTGGCAACGCACGTCAATCATGACGTCGCATGCAGTGCCGGGTGGCAAGTGGTTCTGAGAAGAATCCCCTGTTTGATCAGAAGTGATCTTGGGGCGAGTCGCTTCCCCCTTTGTCTGCTTTGATTGGTTAGACGTGTCACTGTGATTGACTAGTGTTTGCCGTTGCTGCCTTGCTTGTCGAAGAACTACATGCTACACCCTTATGAACCACTCAGCCCACATGACACCAGTAGGCACCACGTGAAGCTTCTACAAAAAGTTGTATTTTTTGGTAGGCTTGTGGTGATGAAAAGCAAGGGTCCCTTGACCCTCATGCGATGTGATGTTGATATTGCGGGTGGAGCTGCTTTGCAGGCGTTGCGGCCACAACAGCAGCAGCAAGCAGATGAGGTGTGGGCAGAATGGCTTGCTTCCGACGAGAGAGGAAGACAGGTGCACGCGTTTTCCGCCTGATAGCCCCCGAGGAAGGCACCATTTGGGGATGTGAGCGCCATTCTGAAGCATTCAAATGGTGCCGTTGTCTCTTTTGCGATTTGATGTGGGAACCTTGGGCGGTAAAGCTGTGCACCATTTGAGCAATCACCAACATGTTTGCTGGCAGAGAGCCTTGATCTGTTTGTGGCGGGGTCACGTTCTGAGGCCAAATATGACTTTGGGGCAGGCCCTTGGTTGGCATTCCCCCGTGAGCCATGTCTATGGACACCCGCTTCTGGAAAAGGCACAGTATGTGAAGCCAGCTCCAGTTTCCCCAGCCACTCTTCCCAATATTCTGGCAATGTTCAGATTCTGTTTTTTTTTTTGTGCGGGGTAGACTTTCTGCACTCCCGCCTCTTTCGCGCTGTCGTGGAGCCCTGTGCCCAGCCGTCAGGCTGCCGGCAATGCCGCCGCGCCGGCGGGGGGGCTCGTGTGCCTGAAGCTGATGGATCTGCTCACGCGCCTCCCTCTCTCCCAACCTTGCACTGGGTTGTGAGAGTTGCCGAATGTTTAGCCGGTCGGACAACGCGTTGCTCTGCGATAGCTTTGGATCAAGCCCTGGGTGGACCGGCAACGGTCACCTGCGTTTGGTCGCAGACTCAGGCACGGAGCCACCAGAGGGCCCTGCAGCTCACGCTGCAGCTGGATGAGCTGGAGCGGCAGGCGGGCACCTGAAACCGTCCCGGTCCAGTCGGCTGAAGCGCCTCGAAAATGCGTAGCGCCGTCTTGAAACAGGAAGTCACTCCGCTTCTTTTCGTTTGCACCTAGGTTGATGGAGGAATCCTTGCACTGGGACAAGTGCAATTGTGAGACTATTAAGAGGAGTTCGGGGAGAAGAATCGTCATCTATGCGGATCCTGACCGCCATTCTAATTTGGGCAGCATGCTCATCCTTCTCATTCCCAATGACAAGACTTGCCCTGTGTCATTCTCAATCCGGTAGCTATATTGCAGCAAAATTGGGTCGACCTGCACGCCACAACTCATCATGGTTGCAGCAGTTCACTGGAGTCATAGTCTCAGCTCGACGTAGCACCTTCCATTGCGCGAATCTTAGGCGGAAGATTTGGCGCGTGAGCGCCGGGCTTAGGGTTCACAGGCTGGGGGCCTCTTCCGGGGCGTTGCGGCCGTTGGATCGAAATGAAGGACGTGCTCGCCAGGTTTCCTTTGAGCATCCAAGAGTCCCCATTTTTCTCGATCTCTTCAGTCTCTCTCCTCCAATCGTTTGGACACGTTCCCGTATCGGTTGATACCAGATGCGGGGAAAGCTCATGCAGATGAGTCCACTGCAACCTGTTCACTGACCGGTTTGAACATGGATTGGAAGAACCTCAGCAACATGTCAACAAGCACTTTGCCATACGGACAAGACATGGCTTGATACAGTCTAGGAAGCTCCTGCTAGTTGCGCAATGCCAGCATGCATTGTCGAGCTTGTAGTGGCCTGTGTGCTGTACCCACCAAACTAGCGGCTAGCATGTGTTGCACTAATGAATAGGGGCTGGAAGGCAGGTTGGCGCCTTTGTAGTGATTCATAAGGAATTTGCTGGCTGGGTGGCTAGGTGGCTTTAGCCATCTATATACAAAGCAATCATATGTCCAATGCCCATCGCGAAATACCCTGTAGAAAGCATGCTTGCTATCACGAGGGCGTGTCCTTCATCAGAGTCGGGGTCCTTTTGGGCCATCAGTCATGATACAACATTCAGGCTTAGACAATGGTCTGATGGGCCTCCGCATTTATCGAACCGTGGTTGAACCAGCACTGCACGGCTGGAAGGTTTGTACATGACATCGCAGCGGATGTCAAGTTTTCAGGTGTTGGAGGGCATACAACCCCATGAAACCAGAAAAAAGTGTGACTTGGATGGGGATGAGATCGGGCGCGGGTCCTGAGGACTGGCAAAGTGCAGTCGAACCTTTACAAGGCCTGCAGCGCTTGGGGCCGTTGCCGCATCGCATGGATGTTTCGCTTTCCAGGTGCGGTGGGGTTGTTGTGTTTGCCTTGGGACCCTCAAGCAGCCAACCCGAGCAAAACAACCATCCATTCAACCAACCAGCGAATCAAGCCAATGAATCCATTCCACCGAGCGGCGCGGCCAAGCAGTCAAACAAGGCCAGCCATGCTCCCTCAGGAGCCGCTGACCACGGTGGTCCGGGCCATGCCCTTGGCCGGTCGCGCCCATTTCGCAGCGGGTTGCGAAGACCTTGCGTAGATTCCGGGGCCGGGGGGTTGAGACTTCTGGAAGATTACTTGACGGGTTTTGAGGAGTCGTTCCTTGATGAATGGTCGCAACCCGCCAGATTTTCGATGGATTCGCTGCGGGATTGCACTGGATATCCTAGATCCCGCATTGTGGAGGATTTCCACTCGGTGCAGGTGGGCTTTGGGGTAATCAAAATCAACCTGAAGTGACCCCAATTTTGGTAAAGCGACCTGGAAAGAGATATTGATGCGGACACCGCTACTTTGGTCCTCAGATTGATTCCAGGTTGACCAGGAAGTATCATCCAGAACAGAATGATCCACTTGAGGGTCTCCTGAAAAGGAAGGCAGGTGACGCATGGGATATAGCCTCGGCATTAAGGAGTGTTCTCACTCCCAGCTCTGTCCCGAAGGTGCAATCAGCGTCTTGTAACCAGAGGCCGCCAAGGACAGGAAACAGGAGCTACCGGCTCTGTCACAGCATGTATTCCTTTCTGCAATAGCAGCGCAGATGTACCCCCGGCACTTTGGGTTTCTGACCGCATAAACCAAGTCACATATAGTGAACAGGTCAGACCACGGAGTGTTTGCTAAGCACGAGGCTCCTACAAATGATTGGTTCTTTTTGGCTTCCACAGATGACCTTGTTGCGAGGTCTTGGACGCCCATGCAGGGGCACTGGACGCCATTTCCACGCAGGCCAGGAAGGAAGGAAGGGGGTGTGTTCGACGGGCATGTTCTTTGTCTTGTCGCTTTCTAGGCGGATTGTTTGGTTTTTTGGACTTGACTTGTTTAAACACTATTTTGGACCTCGCTTGGCCTCATTACGCTGAACATTTGTTGGGGGCTCGCTGGATTTCATGCTGGTGAGTATGCCCACAGCACGGACTTCAAACGTTTTGTGGGCTGTGCGGTAACACTGCAGTTTGGGGACGCTCACATGTCATGTTGCATGCTGCTTTTTCGAGAAGGAAGAGCAGTTGTATCGGCTGTCCTCCCGCATTTTCCAGGCATTGCAAGAATTGCGAAGGCCGCCAGACCCTTCGTTTTTGGGTACGGGCAGTAGTGCTTCTTCATTTGTGTGTCCAATGCATCTTGGATGTATCTCAAAGCCTTTTCCGCCAGATGTTAGAGGAAAGGATCGCGGCAGACAAAGCAACAGGTGGGCACTCGTCCCATGCGTCCCAGGCTTGAAAAGCCTGCATGCTGATGCAAAACCAGCCCTGAGCATTGCAGTAAGAACTCAACTAGCCGGGATCCGGCCAGCAGCCCCAACCCTTTGGATTCACTTTGTTGGCCGTTGGCTCTCACACAATTTTTTTGGCTGCCACAGGTGCAAGTCCCTTGTTTTTGCTGTCCTTCTTGAACTGATTTGATAGGACGCATCTCATTTCTGGGGAAGGGCAGCACAAGACAAAAGTCACTTGATGCAGGATTGCACCGAACCTTGGCACGCGGAGGTCACCTCGGTCAATCAGCGACTCCAAGATATCGAGCGAACCATGTGAGGCGTGCCGTGCGTGCGAGCGCATGCGAATTGGACTGTTGGAGGGCAGGTTTTGGAGAGTGATGCAATCACGAGAGCTGTTTGGGAGTAAGCAGGTTGTCAATTTGTCTATTGACCGTGGGTGATGCAGGCAACATCCCTAGCATCACCAGCATCATCATCATTCCAGAGAACAAGACGTCATTGTTGCGAAGAGCATTGTTTTTTGTGACGGTCCCCCAAGCTGCTTCCTCCAGTCATGCCCTTGAGACATCTACTCAGCTTCAATCTACTCATGCTTTGCAGTGTCGTTCTCCAGTTGAGGAAACGCCTGCTAGCTTCCGTCCTTCAATTGGTCGAGGAACAAAAACAAGATTGGCTGGGTTGGTACTGGCTGCATCAGTCCGGCCATGTGGGCCACGACAGACTCCTCTTTCTGTTGAAGCGTACTAGGTGGGCACTTTTTTGTGGAGTTGTTGCCGGAGCGTCAATGCCCGGCATGCAGCGAAGATTCGGCTCAGCGCTTTCATGGCAATAATGTAGGTGCCAGTTCCTTTTACAGTTTTTACTGTATGAGAGACGCTTCCCAAATATGTTCAGAGATGGAAGCTGCATCAAAGACTCTGAAGCACGGAAGCGAGAACGATCTTGTTCCAGTTTTCTTGTTTGGATGCGGCGGCGTGCGCTTGGCTTGGCGTTGCCGCTGGCCGTGGCGCCTCTGATTCGGTGGTCAACAGCCATGGCCGGCGCCAGCCCGATGTGGGAGGCCATGTGGGCCAAGGCGCGCGGCTTTCAGCTCGTTCGATCGTTGGTCCATCAGACCCATCAGAAGCCAAGAAGCCTTCACCCCATTCTACGTGGCTTGGAATCATGCTTGCAGCAGTTGCGGGGTACCCCGGCATGATTCATCGCGGACCTGAATAAAATGAGCTTTCCCGAGCTTCCACCACTTTCATGACCCTCAAAATTGGTGTTGTTTCTTCCCGTGGTTTTCCCTTCGACTCCCCAAAAACGGGTACCAACTCGTCTGGTCGCAGGGCCTGAGGCCCAAGGAGGCCTTCGATGTGGGGGGGCCCTCCCCCACCCTGGCGGAGGTGCTGGCGAAAGGGTCTCCCGGCCGAGCGGGTGGGGCTGGGGGGTGGGGTGGAGAGGTCAGAAGGCCTGCGCCTGGCGTTTCTTTTTTGGGGGTGCGCAGTGCGCGTTTTTTTGGTAGCATGGGTGTTTTTGGAACAGAAGTTGAGTTGACTCGAGGGCTTTTTCGAGTTGAAACTACGGCAGCGCTACGCAGGGATCTTCTTCCGGCTCTCACAGGTTGCAGGCCCTCTGAAGTGAAGGCCAGTTTGTTTGGCCGACGGGCTCAGTGAACAAACACGGTCAGTGTTAGCTGCATCTCCGCACAGGGCGCCGGCTGCACGTTCTGCGCGTAGCTTTCTGGCAGTTTTGATCTGGTGGATTTCTGGGGAGCTAGACCCTAAAAGCACCAGGGCCCCATGGCACGCAGCTCGCACTTGCTTCTGCCCTGGAACACACAAATCACCCAGGAAAGCTGGCATTTGCACTTCGTTTCAACCGGACCCAAGATAGAACTTTGGTGCATGTTGCCAAGGGATGTTAGGACTAAACACTTTTTGCCAACTAGTGGGTTTTCCGTATTAAACCACTAAAAGTTAGTCACTTTTAGCAGGGCTTCGCAGATTTCGCCACCGAGACAAAGAAAATCGCCCTGAGTTCCCTGGGCGCCGGCGTGGGCAAATGCGCCCTGGTGCCCGGCTGCGGCCGCGCCTACGACGCCCTCGCGCTGGCGGAGTACGGTTTCGAGCGCCGCTCGTTGAGTCCGAGTCCGACTGCGCCGATCTGAGTAGCACGAGCAATTTAACCCATGGTGAAGGTGTTGGGGGCTAGGGGTTCCATATGTTTGGTTCCATATTTTTGGTTCCATATTTTTGGTTCCATATTTTGGGTTTGTGAATTCTGACATGTTGAGCATCCAAACCATGATGATGGGTCCCTTACTTGGGTTGGGGGCTAGAAAATTCTTTATGTCCGTTTGTTTTCACCGCGGTCATGAGATGAGGACCAAGGGGTTCCTGGTTTCCGGTTTGTGAAGTCTGATATGGTAAGCATCCAAAGAAAGAGTGTTAAGCATTGCGCTGATATCAGTTGTATGGACTCTACGTTTGCTATTCCGGTGCAATACTCCTTTCGAAGCGCGCGGAAGCAAGAAAAATGCCTCGCAGCCCGTGTCTTCGATTAAAAAATTCAAGCAGCAGGCTCAGCTTCAATTGGGATGTTGCCTGCATCACCCCATGATCAAGAGACAAATGTACTACCCCTCAACAATGGAATGTGCCTGAAAGAGAGGCATTGTTTCAGGATGATGTCAATTTGAGCTGACCATTTTGAAGCATCGATGGAAAGAAACAGCTGACTTTGTCCAGCCACTTTGTGGAATTTTCCCTTGTGTCCTGCTCATGAACCTCCAGGCAGGCAGCCCAAATAGAGCTAGGACACTTTGAGTTCCAAAAAGCCAGCGTCAGGTGACTGGCATTCAAGTTTCCAGACCTGGAAAAAGGCTTCGCGACTTTCACAGGCGGCTACGTCTTTGACATGCGCAAGTGCACATGATGCCGTTGTGCCGTATGGTCCATTCATGGGAGTTCACGTTCATCACTTCCTATCTCCAAACTGGCGACATGGAGCCCGGGTTGATTCATGGAGCTTTGACCGGCATGGGGTCAACCCACTTTTAATCAAGGTGATCTTAAAGCATGCCTGAGCAACGAAGCAGGCGATAGAGAAAGTGAGAGTTTGGCTGGTACAGAATTCCCTTGGTGTAGCTTCTGGAGCCCGGCGCCTTTGGAAGCAACTCGTTTCTTCGTCGCGTGCGAGGCGTGGTGGCTGTGGACTTGGCCCCGACCGCTGTGGAGGCGGCCAAGCAATTCCTGGCGAGCTGCGGGAACCCTGCCGCAGCCCGGGTGGAGGCGATGGGACCGCAGAGGGACCGGCGCAGGGCATGGGATTTGGTCAAGATGGATGGTTTGGAGGCGTTTTGAGGTGAGCAATAGAATCAGGAGGAGGCACCTTGATTTGCGGCCCGCTCAGTGGAGACAGCAGCTGTCTGCAGACAGGCGTAGTGCAATGTAGTGGCAATGTTCTCCGTCTCTTTTTCATGCATGCGTTTCTTGACATGTTATGACAATGCTCGCAGGAGATGACTCCCAAGTTTCGGAAACACGCGCACGTACCAGCAACCAGCGGTTTGAGAAGCAATGCAGAGGAGAATGTTTCCAGGCCTCGGTTGTCGCTTGTTTCTTGTCTGCCCTTACAGCCCAACGTCTGGGTGAAGAGCAAGTTCCGATGAAGTGCTCAAGCCTCAAGCTTGAGAATAATGAACTCTGGCTCGCAGAGTGCGAGCCACACAAAAAACATTCCGGAAACACATGGTGAGCCGCTAGCCACGCTTAGATGCAGTGCGCTAACTTCTTTGAGATGAAGCTTGAGCCGAAGGCCAGAGGATCCACGGAGACGACATGTATCCATGCACCTGGAATGGCATTTAAGCCCCCCTCTGCCCTGAAAAAGAAGAGGCGGAGTCCACAAAAGAAGATTTTCCGCTCAAGATGTGTGTGACGGAGGGCAATTCCCGGGGGGGGGGGGCTTCTGCAAAAGATGGCTTTCGGTGCCTTCAAGAGGTGGATCCGCTTAGCAAACTGATAGTGCAGCTTGACCAGAAATGGCTGTGGGCAAACCCAATGGTACCATTTTGGGGTAGGTGCACCACCCATTTTAGTGTATTTTAGGCATCTTTTTGACCCATGGCCAGCAGATGGAATTCCTGACTTGGTAGCCAATCCACAAGCTTTCCAGCATTCCGGCGGCATTCCGCGCACAACATGAGAACTTCTTCAAGCGCTCTCAAGCGCATGGTTTCTTATTGTGGGAAAGAGGCAGCATGCACTCAGCACGTGCATTGTGGAGGTGAGAGAAAAGGGGGCTTTCACCTTTCTGACGAGTCCTTATAGCTCAAGTCGACTGCCTTTACGAGACCTGAAAATGACGCCTGCCTTGGCCTTCTATTTCTCCCGACATTCACAAGGCCGACCATGCTATCTGATACTTGTGACTCGATGTGATCTCGGGGCTTAAAGGTGAAGGCTGTCTCAATGGCACGGATTCTTGCCAGTGGCAAGCGCCAGGCAGACGTCATCTGGGACTGCACCTTCCTTTGTGCCCTGGATCCATCGGCGCGGACTGACTGGGCCCGGAAGATGGGGGAGCTGTTGGAGCCTGAGGGAACGCTGATCACCTGCATCTTCCCCATTTGTGACAAGGCGCCTTGTTTGATTCAGTGGGCTTGTGGGATGCTTGAGCCATGGCTTTGTTGCTTTGCGTCGGCCTCGGGGTCCTGCTGCACCCTGTCTGCCTCTTGGCGGTCCCCTCGGCAACTTGTGAACTGCAGTAGCTTTGGTCCCCCGCTTCTGCTCAGTTGGCGCGTGATCAAGGTGCCAGGGACGGTGTTGAAGCTGCAACTTCACCGTTTGAACTGCAGTCCTGCTTATGTTCAACCATTGACGGCGCAGGATGCATCAACAGGACTCTCGTGCACGGATTGAACATTATGTAGAAGAGGTAGAAGGTAAAGCACCCGCGTGGCCTTCACAAGCCCCTTTCAACATGACAACCCTTGTTTCTAAGGTCTTGGGACAAGTGAGGTACTAGACTTGTTGCACTACCTTTGCTACCCAGTGTACTGTGAGTGGAACGAAGGGCTGTGTCGGCAGTGCCCAAGAACGTTTTGAACCTAAGCCTCAAGCTACCAGTACATCGTTCGCTTGAATAGAACCTGGTGGTCGGCTTGACGTGGGCAGACTTGAGCCTAAGAATCCTCACAGAAGCTGCCGCCCATTTCCGTGCTTCAGGGTCACCATGAGGCAGCCCACCCAAAGGAGTGCTGATTTGTGACTGTCACCGATATGGCCATGGGTCAAAATCCAAATCGTACCCCCAGTGAACATCCCAATCCCCACTAAAATAGACTAAAATGGGTGGTGCACCTACCCCAAAATGGTACCATTGGTGTTGACCCACAGCCATATTGGTGTAAGGAAGGTGGGCCTCCCTTCGCCATGTCCGTGCCCTTGGTGAAGGGCTTGCTGGAGCCTGCAGGCGAGGGAGGGTGAAGCTGGGCATCGCTTTGATTTCAGCATGAACGAGAAGTCTTCGTAAAATGCGTCCCGGCAAATGATACACGTCACGGCTCTGGCCTTCGACTCTTGCACTCGTTGTGGAATTTCCAGTTTGAGAATGGCTTGGGAGCCGCGTTCAGTATCCACACAGCATGATTTGCAATTCACACGCACATACACCTACGCAAGGCATTGACAAAACATCAGGCGCTCCTTAGGATCCTAGGCAAGGTTTGACAAAAGGGGAACACAGGTTGGGCAGAAGTCCCTACGTGAGGGGCCTAGCGTGAGGGGAGTGCAACATGGATGTTGGCTCCAACGGACTTGCGAGGTTTCAGGGCTGCTGAGCTGCGAGAGGACGCAGCCAGACACACCGCAGGGGGTATGGCAGCGGGCACTGCGCTGGGGCTGTGGACCAAGGCGAAGCGCGGTGGGCCAGGACCGTGCATATGTGTCTGTGTGTGCGCAACTGGAGAAATAGAACTACTAAAGAACGAAAGTTGTGAAACAAGACCCCTGGCGCTGGCCTGCCGCACCAGCATGACATCATCTCAATTTGCATTGTCCTACTTTGACATACTCTGCAGTCTGGGCCATTTGCGAACCAACTGCGAATCACCACGAATCTCCCCGAGATGCGCATTTGCACTGTGCTGGGCTGGGTGGGTGGGCCATCAGAAGTCAGCCTGAACTAGCTGTTCACGGTTTTTGGGGCCATAGCGCTGAGAATCTCCTTGTCATTCTTAAGACCAATCAACTCCCAAGTGTCAAGCGCAGAGGGACTCCGAAGCATTTGGCCGAACCCTTGGCGAAGATTTGGCTCGGTGATCTGTTTGCTCCGCATAAATAGTATCAATCCTCGGTCCCAAGGTGGTGGGAAGGGCAGTCTGTGGGTTCTGGTTGTCCGCCCGCCGCAGGCAGCCGGGCGTTGAGGCAGATGACTGGCGAGTGAGCCGCGATCTCCGTGTCAGAAAAGCGAGACGAGTGGTGTTCCATGGCTAAAGGACAGATTGTTACTTGGGGCGGAGAGTAGGGACATCAACTACTTGATGATTATTTTCGATAACAGCTGCGTCGATTCCTTTCCATGCGCAGATGCCGCTCAACCCGCCGGAGAATGGCCCCGAGCGCAGGGTTTCCCGTGAGCCTGGATAAACGATGGCTCCTGGCCCGCGCTGGCCTCCGTTTTTTCCGATGCGACCGCGCGTCACATAGCCGGTGGAATGCCGGAGAGCGGTGCCTTTCAACCCCGGGTTGATGCAAGGCGCGCTCTTGTTGTGCAGGATCTAGGCTGAGACCGTGCCGAGATGCTTCGGGAAAGCCATTGGAAAAGGCCCACCGTGTGCGAGGGGGCCCGCTTGCGGGACTTTTTCCCTGAGAAATCGCAAAAGGCATTCACTCGCTGCCCAGGTCATCGCCATAATATGGGTGTGTATTTTCTTGAGGGTGCCACTTTTGGTGGTTTCAGGGAAATCAAAGTAAAGCCATATCTTCGCCGTAAGTTCCGACAGGGAAGGCACCGTCTTGCTTCTCCCAGGTGGTGATGATGTGATGCTGATCCGACCCTGTGCGAGAAAGAGCGGGTTGGGCGAGTCTCTGCGGAATTACGATGAACAGTTGGGATGACCTCACATCAATGTGTCAAGATTCCCACTCTCGCAGTCGCCCGTTTTTGATATGAGCTCCCTTTGTTTTCAGCGCGGGTTTTCATTTTAGTTGAAAAAGGGAACTCTTGCGGGGTAGTTTTGGCAGGACAATTTGGTGCTGCACATTTAGACCAGCCAGCGCTTTTTCCATGGATCTTAGGATTCCATCCTTCCCCCCTTGCGAGTCCATCTTGTGTGACCCCTGCCCGCATTCACCCTTTCTGAGTCAAATACACGCGCGGCTTTGACGCCTCATCTAGGTGAAGTGTCCCAGGCGAAGATTTTTCGATTCGTCCAGTCAGTGCAGAAAGAGCAATCACCGGAAAGACTGACGGCAATGAGCACGAATACACCGCACTTTTACTGATGCTGCCCCGCGGCGCCATGCTTGGCCAAAAGCTTGGAGGGGCGGAAGGTGTGGGCCACATGCTGAACCTACTGAGTGACCTTGAAGCCAACAGGGAGTTGGCGTCAGAGATTCGGCGTTTGATCGCACATGCTCCACCTTGTCACAAGGAATGCCAAAGGGGGGCATGCAGGCTCGCATTGCAAGCATTGCAAGAATGGCAGCAACCGCGTTGTGCAGTATATCACTCTTGACCAGTTTCCAAGATACACAATGTATGCGGAATTCGTGTTGACCCAACGTATTTTCGTGTGTCCCGAAAGTGTAGTCTTCTAGGAGGAATGCAGATAGGCACGAAGCGTGGCTCCCGCCTTCCGCCTAGACTGCTTCTTCCTTGAACCAATGCAAATCTGTTTCTTGACAGCGCAGAAAAAAATCGTGGAGTGACCAAAAAGCTTGCCTTCTGCATGTTGTATGGTTCATTAGCGCTTGTTCTAGGCTTGATCTCAAGGCAGACCGGTACTGTGGACCTTGCCCCGACAGGTGAGGCCCAGGAGATTGCACACCCGCGCACACGACAGGCACACGCTCTGTGCACGCCTGGCAACTCGTTTAAGAAATCTTGCGTCGTTGTCGTTGCACACGGCTCGACATCTATTTCAAATTATGAGTTGCTTGAATGAGACACTGCGCAGTCAGAGTTATTTTAGAGCCAGACTCAATTCTGAATCCTCTTGCTGCACAATTGGCGTGATATACTTGCTGTGATCCAACAAGCCCGAGGCCGGTTGCCTTTGGTGGCGCAGCGACTAGGCCGAGCAAGCAGTTGCAGCTTTTGCGATGCTTTCTTTGCTTGAAGACGGATGTTGCATAGGTGAATGTGCGCATCCTTGTCCTAGATGAGATCTGCACTTGTCACTGCCGGAAGTGGGTTGTTGCCTGCTTTAGTCGTTATTTGCATGTCAGCAGCGTCTTGTAGATGTCTGCTAGCAGATTAGTGGGTGATCTTTGTGTTCACTTTGTGTTATTTGTTGTGTTTTTTTTTTTAACCAATGTCTTCCTGCTGTCTCTCGTCAAAGACCATCCCCAGCTGCCTCTTCACTGTCCTTCTTCTTCTTCTTCTCCTGCTCTCTCTCTCTCTCTCTCTTCCGCTTTTACTTTCTCTTTCTCTTTCACCTTCTCTTGCCCTCTCTCTCTGCCGTTTTGCAGGCGCACGGGGCGTGGCAGCGGAGGCCTGCAAAGGGTGCGTGCGGTGAGTTCACAACACTGAGCCCAGCAAATGCGCACAGAACCACCCCAGAACACCCACACAGGCTCGCACGCCCGCACACACGCTTGCACGCGCGCGCATGGCTTGCCTTGAGCATCACTTTGAATATAATTGTGCATATGGCTTTGATATGTAGTTAACTTGTTGTAGGTTAGGTCAAGAGGCAGCAGTGTCATTTAGCTGCTTGCTCGACTTGTTTTCCCTCTCGCCCCTACTAAGTGGGGATGGTGGGGTTGTTGTCACCTTGAGGGCTAGGCTGTTACAGCTGTTGTCTCTAAAGGGAAAGTGCCGTGAGAGGCACGCACTCACACGCTCCGTTTTCCATATTTTCCATCAATCATTGGGCACCAAGGACTGCCTCACTGACATTGTGATCAGCCATCCCAAGATCTGCCCAGCTTCTTTGGGGCAAAATTGGATTGATGGGCAACAGGACCCCGTGCACAGATGCCCAAAAACAGACGAGCGCATTAAACAGGACCCCAATGAGCGTGTTTGTTGTTTTACTTGTTCCAAGACTCGAGAAACGCGACAAACGCTGTCTGCTGGCCAAGTTTCGCGTATTGGCGGTCCTTTGGCATAGTGTCTCAAGCCAAGCAACACAAAGGTTGGTGTGGCCATCGAGAGAAAACATGTCTTCAGCAAAGGGACTCTGTGGAAAGGGTGACTTGAAAGTGAATGTTGGAGATCAAATGCGAAGGGAGCTGTGGAAGTGGGTGCTGGACATATGGGTTGGAGGGCAGCAGCTTGGCTGGAGAAGCGCAGTGCAAAGCCTGAGTGAACGTGGATATCATCATTTGCAGCGCAAACAGTGACCGCAAAGGTGGATATGAAACAGCTATAGCGTGCCAGCCACAGATTCTGCATGCGCAAGAAGCCTACGTTTTGGGTGTTTGCATAATGCAACCAATTGCAGGGTTCTTTCCTGTGCAGGGCGTGCCTGGATTACAGTGCAGCGCCAAGACGAATGCCGGGATCCCGGACACGACGCTTTGGCGAACCTTGTTGGCAGACGGGGAGCAACATGACTCTTTGGTTTGAAGTGAGGGAGCCAGTTTAAGTATGGGTCTGCCGAGTGATTGAGCCTGTTCAGCAACGACTTGCTATGTCCGGCATGCGGCTTGCCAGTGTTGTTTTCTCCAGGCCTCAACGGTTTTACAGCATCCTTTGCTTGCGCTGCCTTTGCGATGCGCAAAGGCAGACTGCTCTTGCCCAGCTGAGCAGTCAACATCCTTGAAAGCAAGGAATGGCTGCAGGGACCTCCGTCGGTCCTTTTGGTTTGCAGTTTTCCTCGGTTCGACCGAGACTTCCATCCGGACAGGTGGGGAAGTTGGCGGGCGCCCTGAGCGCGCGGCTGCGAGAAGGCGCCAAGACCACCCTTGACAGCGTGTGAGCCTCGGCGTATGAGCCACGGGTGGGCTGTCTTAGGTGTCTTGGGGTTCTTCAGTTTATTCATTTGAGAAAGGTCCTTAGGTGATCATTCTTCTTGTCCTTTTGGATGGGAAGTATGGGCGACACTCAATGGATGTTCTACAGCGCATCAAAACACGATTACAACAAAACCCTGTTTGCTCCACTTTTGGTATGATGGCTTTGAGACCTTTGGTTGGCTTTCAGCATATCGTTTGCAACGCAATGACATCGCAATCTCATATCAGGTATCGTGATCTGAAAAGCTGAGAAGCTCAAACTCCAAGTTGCTGGAGGAGCGCATGTCGACCTTGGGGATGATCGCAGGGTGGTATTCAAATCCCAAGTCGAGCGAAGCTGTTCCGCTGCATCCCCAAAGGACAGTTGTTCACCATTTCTGTCCGTATGCCCGCACCTGCTGTGGGCCGCATGCTACACGCCGAATGAAGAACTCAAGGAGTTGCGTCCTCCCACAAGGTTTTTGGGGCCCGCTAGCCAGCCAGCCAAAAGAAAAACTGAAGTCCACTGAGTTTGAACAGTCAAACACGTTTCTCCAACACAAAGAATGCCTTTGTACACTGGGTACTGTATTTCCACTTCAAACCTAGGAAAGGCTGATGAGCCATTGGGATGTATGATCCCGAACGGGGCAAACAAGCTGGCGGCAAACTGTGTTCACATTCTGCCAGTCCCCGCATGTTCTGTACTTCTTGGACATGTGGCTGTGGGTCAAAGCCAATGGGACCATTTTGGGGTAGGTGTACGTCTATTTTTGTGGGGATGTTCACTGGGGGTACGGCATTTTGACCCATGGCCATGTGTTTTTTGAGCAGTGCTTTGTGAACTGCGCGGCCAAGGTCGGCCCGGCAGCGACGTACACGGCCATCAAGTCCATCATGGTGGCGGAGGACTATTGCAGCCAGGAGCCGAATGCTTTGAGTCCAGAATCCAGAAGGTGAAGACGATGGGTCCCCAAGGACTTGAGGTTCAAGATAAACCAAGCTGTGTTTGCTATTGTCCAAAGCCCGCAAAAAATGGGGGGGCTGCATGAAGCGTTCCTCTCGGCAGACACAATTTGACTACTTGAATCGAGCAAAAAGAGCTCCTTTGGTGGGGGGCGTCTTTGCTTGATCTTCAGACCTTGCTTTTGCTGCCAAGCAAGAAATCAATCCAGACGGAGTATCCCTCCAACCTGGCTGAATCGCAGGTCGGCTTTGCGATTGCCATCCAAAATCTTCTCTTTGCCCCCGCTTCGCGGTCCCTCACTGGAGGAAGCTCAGGGCAAAGTCCTTGCAGTGCGGCCGGAGATGGCCCGGCCCGCAGAGGGGCTGGCGCGGGGCGGGCGCGGGGTCTGTGGTTTCAAGAAACAAGTTGGGCTCCGTCGGTCTCCAAGTCCACTGCGATGCCGGCGTGCGCTCAAGCATTCCCAACGAATACGCTCCGCGAGTCTTGTGGGTGTCACCCTAGAAACTCCGATCTGAAGCGGTATGCGGTATGAGGTTCAAGCAACCGAAACGTGGCCCCTTAAAAGTAGAAGCCCTCTGCACCTGTTCCAATATTGTGGAGCCACGCGTAAAAGGGTTGGCCCAAGCAGCTGATGCGCTGATAGCTATTCTCACTTGGTGTTTGGCAGGATGCATTCATGATGACTCCCATCATAGTATGTCGTTGTTTGGCACGAGAAGAGGATGTCTGTGCCTTGACTTCGCCCGATCTGCGGGTTCATGGCATTTCCAAGTCACACTGGAAGGGTAATCATCGCCACTGAAACTGTCACTTGCAAGATCAGCGCACGCCATCGCACGGGGTGTTCCCCGGACGCGCAGCCACCCTTGTTTTGACGCTAGAACTTTTGACAAGGAGCATACCCCCGAGCAGACCTCCACTGTTTGTCTCAGGTCTGGGAGGCACGTTCCCCCGAACTGTATGGCATGAATTCGACTTTTGGAGCGGGAGGGAATTTAGTCTACACACTCTGCCAAGCAGGGAACCATTTCGGTTTCCTCTGTTTGCCCACCAACACCTCTCTGAGCGGGATATCCCAGTGCAGAAGATGATTGAACCAATGAGAACAGATGTCCGCCGTCAATCTCTTGGGCGACCTCCTGCACCTTGCCTGGGTCCTTCGATCTCACATGTGGGTATGGGTCAAAATTATAACCACCAAACCGCAGGTTTTGGTCCATGTTTCCATTTACCAGGGCAAGCCATTTTTGGGGTTACCCTATGTTTGACCCACAGCCACGAGGCTCTCGCAGACCGTCCCTTCCCCGGCTTGTTCGAGGTGAAGCTGGATCCCCGCACAGCGCCCAGCGGCCGCGAGACCCAGACAGTGGCGCGGGAAGCTAAGAGATGGGCGCGCGCGAGGGGCAAACAGATACCTCCTGGGGCCCAACAAAAGTAGAACGGGTGCGGTAAAACCCGATTTGAAGTTTTATATTTTGAGGAAAACAGAGGGGAATTTTGTTGCTGTTTCTATCTTGTTGAGATCAACCTGACTAGGTTGGTTTAGTCAGAAGACGCCGGGGAATCGGCGAGGATTGTTTGTCCGTCCGTTTTCCACGTGGCTTTTTCCAAAGCCCAAGGCCACATCGACAGATGGACGTCCTTGCCGGCTAACAACATTCAGGGGTCGTTGGAGTGTCATGAGAATCCTCGAGATACTGTCAGAATCTGAGTGGCTGCTGCGCTCTGAGAGAAGTGGAGACTTGTCTCGCTGGCTTGGCCTCGCCGAGCTTGAAAAGCAGACATCTTTATGTCTCCACATGAAGCCTCAAGAACCTTTGGTTGAAGAACCTTTGCAACATAACCTATCAAAAGTTGGTAGGTAAGCAAACCAAGGTCTTGCCATGCTTCGCAGCGTATGTCAGTGGTCAGTTTCAATTCAACCATCTTGCTCTACTTAGTCTTTGTTGCCTGCTAGGGGCTGGCCAAATCAGAAACGCGACATGTTTCTTTTGGGCTAAATTAATAGTCGAAGAGGAATGCGCAAACAAATTCGAAGCATATCTTTTGCAGGAATGCAAGCTACAGCTCATGTTGCAAGTTGGAACACCGAGGGGAAGTCAAGCAGACAGCAGACAATCAAGCTTGCTCTTTTTGCTCCGGGCACCGGGCAGTCGGGTCGGATGATGGACTTTTGTGAATTTGAGTGACATTCCCAGTCGGGTCGGAGCCCGTGAGCTCCGAATTCACAGGCATTCATCTTGCCCTACCCCCCCAGTTCCCCGACCCGTGGCCTCCATCAGGTTCCGCCTGCATGTGGCGCTGGCCGATCCCTTGCCGGAGCGAATCGAGCGAGCGCGTATTGAATTCGGAGGTTTCAGCTCAACCGCCAAGCCCAAGATCGTGACAATGGTCCAAGGCTTTTTTCGGCCGTCAGATCGCCGGTCGAACCTCCAGGAGCTGGATCAGGAGCTGACCTATATGAGCCAGCGGCTCAAGCGGGGGGGCCGCTCAGTTGGCTCAGAGTCCGTGCAAGTGTGACGGTCGCAGCCAGACAAATCCAAGAGCGAACAGAGTTTGTGGACTGCTGGGTTTCGGGTGCAAACCAGGCTTGAAGAGGAGAGGCATTCAGGTGACATTTGAGCATGCAGTGTCACACTTGCATGTGCGCCTTCCCCAGACAAGCCATGCTTGTCTTGAAGTAGCATGCATGGCATGCAACTTGAACAGATTCGCCCGCAAACGCAGAATCAACTCAAGTCGGCCGCACGGCAGCTCCGCCCCGTCGGCTCCAGGCTATGCATGGCGAAGCAGTGGAATAAGTCAGCTAGGGGCTATACAGCCGCTCTGTATGCTGATGCAGCGACAGCACCGGGTGTTGGCGGCTTGGTTCTCTCCTTGCCATTGAGCGAGTACACCTTGCCGCCTGAAGTTGTGCTGTACCAACCTTCCGCTGGTGACATCCACCGAGGAGGTGCGCCTGCCCCACAAGGAAAGACAGGCAATCGCCTGATTTTCTTGAATGTTCCGCTGCTGGACTCCGAGCAGCGAGCGCTCAAAGCCTTGCACGACGCCCTGAAGGGCGAAAAGGCTCTTGCGCCAGCTGGGGCCCTTCCGTCCTATGTTCGGCTTCACGCGCTACGAATCCTCCAGCAAGCAAGGTGGCGCGTTGACAGGGCACTCACCACCATCGCGACACATTTGGAGATGCGTGTGCAGAAAATGCCGGTGCATGAGGATTCGGTGCTGCAAGACCTACAGTCTGGGATGATGTACTGGCATGGAAGGGACAGAGCATGCCGGCCAGTTTTGGTTTGGCGCGCGGAAAAGATCGGTGGCCTAGATCCCGAGCGTGCGACAAAGATGATGCTCTTTGTCCTGGAGTATGCGGTTCGATACTTGATGGTGCCTGGCCGCGTGGAGAACTGGGTTCTGATCGTAGATCTGACGAACTGCGGCATGTCTATGGCCGCCAGTTCCTCCACCCGAAGCATCACAAGGAATGTGACCAGGTTGCTGGAGGAGGTGTACTGTGGCAGGAACTTCACCACCAAGATTTTCCATATGCCCTTTATCCTCCGGGCCATTGTGAATTCATTGATACCTGAGGACAAGAAGTCAAAGGTGGAGTTTGTGGCCGACAGCGACATCGCGAGCTGCATGCGGAAGTTGTGCGAAGCACACCAGCTGGAAGAGCAGTATGGGGGCACTGCGCCCAACGTCCGGGCGGGGGAAGCTTATCCTTTTCGCTTTTTCCCTCACTGCCGTGGGCCGGCCAGCGGCGGCACCCCTCCCCTGCCGTCTTTGCATGACACGACCGACCGCTTGTTTCACGAGGGCTTGTCCCTGGACACCAACGAGCAGGCGGTTTGGGAGGAGTTCATCGGAGCACAAGCTCTCACCGAGCAGACAGCAGAGGCCATGTCAAAGCACCTGGGCAGGGCGCTTGAGCCCACAGTCACCTTCCAGCAATGGCAGAGCTTGATTTCACCAGAGGCATCTCAGAAGTTCACGGGGACGGGGGCACTCGAGGCCCCTGCCTCAAGTCCTGATCTTGTGAATTCAACGGACGCTGCAGAAGCCATCAACTCTGCCGCAGGGGAGAAGGAAGACCCAGTGAAGGATGCAGCCAACGAGGACGATTCAAAGCCGCAAATCACGACGGTCGTGAATACAAAGATGGTCCCACCAGCAATAGAAGGTGAATCCTCAGCAGTTTGCTGCTATTGCTCACCTTGACACAACGTCGCCTGCTCTGAGCAAAGCGAATCAGTTTCACCTTGTTGCAAACTTGGTCTCGGCTGGCCAGAAAGGCCCGCCAGGTCAGGTTGTCTTTTTTTCCGATGCCTGGGATTTGGTGAACTTCAAGTCTTTTGCACCGGCAATCGCGCTCTTGCCAATCCCTCAATGGAGGGATATTTGCGTAAGCAAAACAGCGACTGTGAAGTGAAAAGCAAAAATCGTCAACTGCATAATTATCACAACAGGGATTGTGGCTCAGAACAAACCCACAGCAAGCGGCTCTCCCCGACCTCTTGATGCTACACCAACCCTTCTACCCGCTCAAGGGTTTGATTCCGGGTGATAAAAACGCCCACCCAAAGGATCACGAACAAAACATATTCAGCTCAGCTGAGCAAGCTCCTTCCCTTTCTGTACGCATTGCTGATAGTTGAGAACATGGACGATCCTCTCTGGTTGATGCTAGCTGAGGCCTTTTCCGAGGACCCTTGAGTAGCTACATGATCATGTGGCCATTCAAAACCGTTTTGGGATCCCATTTTGGGATAGGTGAATGCACCCATTCTACACTGGGGGAAACGGGTTTTGACCCGTGGCCACGTCTCTACGGGTCCCGCGTGGGACCCGGCCCGAAGCCCGAGGCGCGGATACGAACCCGGGCCTGGCCGCGCGTTTGTTGGTGCGGGTCGTGGAGGACAAGGGCGCCCGGACGCCCGCCATCTGGCTGTGGTCAAAACCGTTTTGGGATCCCATTTTGGGCATTTTGTGCACCACCCATTTTAGAGCCTAAATTTTAGTGGTTGGATTGAATCGGATGTTCACCGGGGCTACGATTTGGATTTTGACCCATTCGAAAGTTTGGCCTTCTTTGGACACCCTCGGATCCACAGTGGGCAAACCCCGATTCTTGCCTAAGATCTTTGGCCAGACGCGGCTCGGGGCGACCTGGTGTTCTTTCCTGATGGAAGCCGTTTGGGAGCGCTGAGGTGGTACCCCTGGCGTGCCAGGGCCAGAGATATGCTGGAAGGAGAGACTGAGTCATGAAGATTCTGTGACTTAAATGCCATGGCTAGCTTTATTCCTTGGATATCCACCTTCTACAATGCTCTTGCTCATTCATCAGCGTTTTTTGAAGCACCACGGCTTCAACAGGGAAACAAGAGCAGTGGAAGCTCGACCAGTGCGCGACCGTGGCTACATCTTCTGCAGGATATTTGTTTTTGAAGCGCTGTGAAATTCGGAGTGTCTGCGTCTCTGAGGTATGGGGGACAAGTCCTGCGGCATTGCACTGAGGGTTCGGGAGCCAGGGCAAGCAGGGTTGGCTCTCTCGGGCTGTATTGGAGGAGTGCAGAATCTCGGAATGCTTTGCCTAAGGTTGGGGGATTGAGCACGTCTTGCGGATGCCTTTAATCTTGCATGAGATGTGCACTTCACACGTTGACCATGCGGATGAACCGATTCCCGCAGACCTTTTTTATGCTTTGAAGGAGAAAAGTCGCCCCGGAGGTTTGCAGGTTATGAGCCCAAGCCGCTCGCGCACATGGAGGTGATGAGGCGGCGACGGTCCGGCCAGGTAAGCCCTGGCGGGGAAGTCGAGGAGAGCCGGGCACTGGCCGGGGGCGAGCTGGTGGCGGACGAGGGAGAAGATCCTGAGATGGGTGAGCCGATGGAGGGTGATGACGCCCTGGAGGTTCACTCGGCAGATGGCCGTGCATCCACCAGGGAGGCATCAACGGCAAGATCGGCGAGGAGCTCATCGAGGACGAGGGAGACGTCACCGAGGGCCCTCAGGCCGGGCATGGACGATGAGCCTTTGGTGGAGAGGGAGCCGAGCTCTACGGCCTCTAGGCAAAGGAGCGCTTCAGCGCAGAGCTCTATGGCATCTGCGAAGCCAGGGAGTACCACGAGGTCGAGCCCTTCGGCATCTAGGAGAGCGGGCTCTATGGAAAGGGCCGGTGATGGCCCGAAGGCAGGAGCGGAGGTGAATCCCTTTTGGTCCAAGAGGGTGCAGGAGGAGGTGAGGCTTCGTGAAGCGAGGCCGGAAGGACTGCCACCGGTCCCGGAGTCAGGTGATGAGGAGGAGCCGGTCAGGACACCTTTGAAGGCTGCGGAGGGAGAAGCAGCCGCGAAGAGGAATCGGGCCAGGGCCTTCATGTCGCCGGAGGAGCGGTTGGCGGATGAGAAAAGGGAGTTGGCCTTGCAGGCGGTCAAGAGGGATCTGAGACGGATCGGAGGAGAGGGGCCGCCGGAGGAGGGCGGGCGGAACAAGGGGCCTTCAGGTGGAGGCGGAGAGGATTGGGATGGCGCCGGAAGCGCAGGAGACAAGGGAAGGCCAGCCACACCTGATGACCAGGGGGAACTCAGCAGGGTGATGATCGAGGAGTACGGTGCGGTCAACATGAACCTGGCTGAGGCGTTGCGGCAACGGAATGAGCTGCGACATAAGGTGGAGCGACTGGAGCTGGAGAAGATTGTGGTGGAAGCGGAGGCCGAGCAGAACCGGAGGATGGCGGAGCTGTGGGAATCACGGGCGCGGCAGGCTGAGAAGCACGTGGAGCTCTTGACGGACCAGATCACGGTGCTGGAACAACGGCCTCAGCAATTTCACACGCCGCAGCAAGAGGAGGAGCCGCAGCCACCGAGGCCGGAAACCCCCCCACCACCGCCTCCGGGAATTCGATCCAAGAGGCAAAAGCTGGAGATGACGCCGGGTGGCACCAGGGTGCCGCAGGATCCACCCCCTTATGATCATGAATGGCCAAACCCAGAAAACGGTTGGGTCATGGACGGGGTGAGTTACAAGCCGGCATGGGGGCGCTCGAGGTCTACGTCAAGGGAGGCCGGCGGCAAGCAGACCGAGGTGGACAAGGTCGAGGTCGACTTCCAAGGACGGTGGTGAGGCACGGAAACCCGAGGAAGGGAAGCCAGCAATTCCAGTGGCGCCCCTGCTACAGCAGAAGCCAAAGAGTCGGCCGGAGGTCAAGGAGATGCCCAACGAGACTGGACGGGCTACGGATCTGCCGGAGCTGGTGGGCGACGGAAGCCCGCTGACATTTGGGGACTGGATGGCCACGATCGACCACTACATGAAGGACATTTCGACCTACAGCGCGATGTGGTGGGAGGAGGTGTGCGCTAGTGCGAAGGAGGCCTACGCGGAGTGGTTGGTGGCGAGCCCGTTGCAGAGACTGCGCATCAAGCCGGAGCTGCCGCTGGTCTGCATGGATTTGCCTCGCACTGAGCAGAGAGGGGTGGCCATGGTCCTCAAGGCGCTCCCGGAGAGCGTAAAGAAGGAGCTGGTGGCCAACAGGCAGTTGAGCATGGTGAACATCATCTATCGCCTGTACATCTTGTACCAGCCAGGAGGAGCCTCGGAAAGGCAGCAGATCCTGAACGCGCTGCTGGACACCAAGGGCGGGAACGCTTCGGAGGTAGCTAAGCAGCTGAGGTCGTGGAGGCACTAAAAGAAACGGGCGCTGGAGCTGGGAGTGGCGCTGCCGGATGCCACGTTGTTGGGGTTGGCCCTGGACAAGTTCGCTGCGGCTCTGTCGAAGCTGGATCAGCAGAGCAGCTACCGAATGTCCACGGTGAGAGCGGAGCTGAACCTGGACACGAGGCCGACTCAGGAAGCGGTGGAGAGCTTCGCGGAGTACCTCCAAGCGGAGTCCGAGACGGCGGAGTTGGCCAAGGGCGGCAAGGAGACCGCTCCCAAGGTGAAGGCGATGGGTGGGGCAGGAAAGGAGGAGGCTGGACCCTGGAAGCCATCGAGTGGTGGTGGGACTCTCGGGAAGCCGAGGGTGGTGGATTTGTCGAGGGCGTGCAAATGGTACGCGACCGACGCGGGTTGCAGGTTTGGCAAGAACTGCAAGTTTGCCCATGTGTGGGACAGCCTGGATCGGCAAAAGGAGCGGTGCTGGAACTGTGGGAGTTTGGAGCATCGCAAAGCGGAGTGCCCGCGGCCTGGGCCCCAAGGTGGCCCGGGAGGAGGTCAAGCTGCGGCTGGAGGGGGCGAAGGAGCCAAGAGGAGAGCCGGAACACCGCCGGGAAATAAGGGGGGGGTGAGGAAGGCTGCTGGAGGAAAGAGCCATGCGGCGGAACCGGTGGTAGAAGAAGAAATGGAGGAGGTCGTTGTTGAGGAGACCGGTGGGAAGGACAAGCTGATGGCAGAGGCGACGCAGCTGTTGAAGAGCCTCAGGATGAAGAAGCTCAAGGCGGCGAAGCTGTCAAAGATCGGGGAGTGCCAAAGTTGGGGGCTTCTTGATGGAGGGGCCACGCATGCGCTCAGGCAAGCGCGGAAGGGGGAGACAGGGGAGGACCGCATGGTGGAGCTTGCGGACGGCCGGGAGGTGGCGATGCAGATGACGGAGGGTCACACTTTGATCTGCAAGGAAGCCACGCAGGTCATTGTGCCGCTTGGAGCGTTGTACCTGCTGGGCTACAGGATCCGCTGGGAGGAGGGTATCTGCTGCATCGAGCATGCGAGCCGAGGCCCGTTGCCGGTGAGGATGAGGCAGTTTTGCCCGGAAGTCCCGACGGAGGTGGCTCTGAGGTTGGTGGAGGAACTGGAGGAGTTCAACAAGGGGTTGCTCAGGAGGGCGGCGACAGCGGCGACCAAGAGCATGAGGAAGCCGGACGTCAAGAAGGGCCTGTGCGGCAGGGTGGCGGAGGCGTGGAAGAAAGGAGAGATGGAGAAGGTGAAGGGGGAGTTCGAGCAGCTCTTCCCGGAGGTGCCGGTGGCGCTGCTGGAGAGGGCCCTGGGCACAGGAGAAGGAAGGGGAATCGCCTGGAACCGGGCGGCGAGGAGGAGGCATGCCAAGGCGACAGGGTTGATCCTGCATCTCTTCGCCGGAAAGAGTGCGAAGAAGTTCAACTACGGGCAGTGGGACAGGGAGATCATTGCGGTGGACATCCTGTCGGGCCAGGATTTGCTTGAGGAGGACACCTTCGGGTACCTGGCTGGTTTGGCGGCGGAGGGAAGGACGGAGGGGGTCATGGGTGGACCGCCGTGTCGGACGTATTCCTACTGCCGGCACTTTGAGCCTGGCCCTTATCCGGTCCGAGGAAGAGGAGAAGAGCGGTTTGGCTATGAGGAGCTGAGCGAGGTGGAAGCAAAGAAAGTGGAGGGCGACAGCGTCTTGATGCTGCGCATGTGGATCCTGGCGGTGCTGGCGAATGGTGGCCGGGAGCTGGTGGGTCGGAAGGCATGGATGGTCAAGGAGCACCCGGAGGACCCGAGGAGCTTTGTCAGTGAAGAGGAGTGGGAGAGGGCCAAGGCCCGGGGGGGCGAACCGCCTTCGATCTGGGATTGGCCGGAGGTCGCGGCGATGGAGGAGGTGCTGGGACTCATCAGGGTGAAGTTCGACCAGGGTGCGATGGGCCACATAAAGAGGAAGCCGACGATGCTGTTGACCAGTATCAAGGACCTACGGCAGCTGGACGGCATGAGAGGACCTGGAGTTGGAGGAGCGGGGAACCGCGAATCCAGCAGCTGGGCAGAATGGGCGCCGGGGTTGGTGGCGGCGTTGGACGAGGCGATCAAAAGGGAGGTGGTGGCAGCGGCAAGAATGGCAAAGGCATCGGCAGAGGAGATGTGGAAGAGCCACGTCGAGAATGGCCATACCCCGTTTCGCCGAGACTGCAGGGCCTGCATCCAGGGGGGACTCAGAGGAAGGAGCCATCGGAAGAGGAGTCACCCGGCCTTGGCCACTTTGGCCATCGACGTGACGGGCCCGTTCAAGACGTCTAAGGAGGGGCATCGCTATCTGTTGGTGGGGTCGTACGTCACGGCGGTGGCGGAGAACATGGCCAAGGAAGATGAGGTGGAGAAGGAAGCCAGGGAAGAAGGGGAAGACCCGAGTGAGGACCCATTTGAGGAGATGTTTGATGAGGAAGGAGCCTTGAGGATAGAAGGTGAGGATAGAGAGGTGAGGGTAGAAGGTGAGGAGAGAGGAGCCGTGAGGGTAGAAGGTGAGGAGAGAGGAGCCGTGAGGGTAGAAGGTGAGGAGAGAGGAGCCGTGAGGGTAGAAGGTGAGGAGGACGAGAGAAGAGAAGAAGAGCATCCAGCTCCGGGGGGGCTGGAAGGTATGGTCACAAGGACCATCATGTTGGTGGAGCCGCTGAAGACCAGGAGAGCAGCGGAGGTGATTGCGGCTACGCAGTCGATGGTTGCCAAGCTTCGGTGGTGGGGTCTCGAGGTGACGAGACTTCATTCTGATCGAGGACGGGAGCTGGTGTCGACAGCGTTGAGGAGGTGGGCGGTGAGTCATGGGCTGTACAAGACGTTGTCAAGCCCAGATGAGCCGCAAGCCAATGGCCGGGCGGAGGCAGCGGTTGGCTGGGTGAAGCGGAAGGCACGGGCGCTGCTGCTGGCGGCGGGGGCCAACGCCAATTTGTGGCATGGGGCAGCGTTGCAAGCGGTGGAGATCAGGAACCGGAAGATCATGCGAGAGATGGGTTCTCCACAGCTGCAGCTGCCGGTCTTCGGTCAAAAGGTGGTGGTGAAGAAGAGGAGATGGAAGAGAGAGGCTTGGGAGGCGATCACGCAGAACGCCACCTATGTGGGGCCGTGCCCGGACATGACCTTCGGTTTGAGGGTGATGGATCAAGGGGGGAGCATCTACACGGTGTCGCAGGTGGTGCCGGAGCCGACAGACCAGAAGGTGGACATCCCGGTGGTGGGTGAGCTGTGGACCAGGAGAAGGAGGCTGCGAGGAAAGCAGAGAGATGAGGAGGCTGGAGGAGCTGAGGAGGAGCCGAGAATCGGTAAGGTCGAAGGAAGTGAGGAGCAGGTGGAGGTGTCCTTGGACCCGGAGTGGGTAGGGGTCGGGAAGGACTGGATCGAGGCGATGGCAAAAAGACAGGTGGTGTGGTCGAGAGAGAAGGATCGGTGCCTGGAGTTGGTCATGGATGACTTGGAGATGGGGGGCACCGGAGAGGAGTGGGCTGAGGTGCTGGGAAGGTTAGACATCCAGCAGAGCTGCACGGAAGAGGAGATGGTGGAGGTCACCCGCGAGGAGCGCCCAAAGGCAGGACTGAGGGCGATGGATGTGGTGGCGGAAGAGGAGATGTTCCTCCAGACGAAGATTATCGGGCTGGAGCAGGTGAGGAGGGAGATGGAGCTGTGGGTGCCGACGATGAAGAAGGAGGTCGGTGCGTTGCTGGAGAAGACAGCCATACGAGAGGTGAGAGAAGAAGAGGTGGATAGATGGGAGAGAGAAGGTGAGGCGGTGCAAAGAGCGCCGGGAAAGGCGGTGTTCACCCGCAAGTCAGGTGATGGGAGGCGGAAGTGCCGCGCGGTTGTCTGCGGCAACCAAATCCAGGAAGAGGTGGAAGGAGGGGCTGACGTGTACGCATCCGGCGTGGAGGCTGGCACGGTTCGTGCGCTGCTCCGAAAGGCGGCGGCTATGAGATGGTCGGTGGGCAGCTTAGACATCAGAACGGCGTTCTTGAACGCCCCGAGGAGGTCGTCCCATCGGGTGGTAGTGAGACCGCCGAGGATCCTCATCGATGCGAAGGTGGTGGAGCCGGGCGTCATGTGGGAGGTCACGAAGGCGCTCTACGGGCTGAGCGCTTCACCAGCCGATTCCGGGATGATACCCTCAGGAGGTGGAAAGTGGACATCGGTGGGGGACAGGTGCTGGTATTGCAGCAGGCCTTTGCCGATGAGAATCTGTGGAAGATCAGATTTGGAAAGACCACGGTGGGGTTCATCTGCTGCTACGTGGACGACATGATGATCATCGGGGAGCAGAGCATCGTGGAGGTGATGGCGGGTCACATCAAAAAGGAGTGGGACGCCACGGACCTGGAGTGGGCCAATACCGAAAAGGCGTTGAAGTTCTGCGGGGTGGAGGTGATGGTGAAACCAGGAGGAGGTGGAGAAATCCTCGTGGGACAGGAGGATTACATCAAGGATGTGATCAACCGGTACGGGAGTGAGGTGAAGGAGAAGCTCATCCCGGTACCGAAGGAGATTGAGAAGGACGGGGAGGACGAAGAGCAGGACACGGAGATGGTCCGGAGAGCACAGACGCTGTCGGGAGAGTTGCTATGGGCGACCCGGACGAGACCAGACATCAGCTATGGCGTGAATCGCATCAGCCAGCTGATTGCGCGGCAGGCGAGGCGGGCCTATGACATGGGAATCTACCTGCTGGGCTTCCTCAAGAAGACGATGGAGTGGAAGTTGGAGTTCGGTGCCGCGGCGGAGGGCCACGGGGAGAATGGGGAGTACGTGTATGAGAGGGGCATGAACACGGTGGAGGTCTATGCGGACGCAGGTTTCGGGCCGGATGGAGGCCGCTCGCAGCAGGGGGTCATCGTATGTTATGGTGGCTGCCCAATCCATTGGACGAGCACGAGGCAGCCGTTTGTGGCAAGATCGACCGCGGAGGCTGAGTTGTTGGCAGCCATGGAGGGTGTGCTGCAAGGGGAAGCCTGGGCGGAGATCATCGCCGACCTGGAGGACAGGAAGGTCGCATCGGTGTGGGACAGGGCGGGCATCGATGTGGAAGGGCGGGACCAGCTGAAGTCGTTGAAGCTGGTGATGATGCAGGACAATGCGGCAGCGGTCACGCTACTGCAGGGCCCAGGTGGGTCATGGAGGACGAGGCCACTGAAGATCCGGGCCAGGTCTGCCAGGGAGAGATTCGAGAATGGCTTCTGGGCGCTGCAGCACTTGCCGGGCGAGACGATGTTGGCAGACATCGGTACCAAGGCCTTGGGAAGCTCTCGCTTGAGAGCACTGGCCGAGATGATGGGTATGAAGATGGGCGAGAACGATGCGATCCCGGAGAAGGATGAGGACCTTGTGAAGGTCGGGGAGGGGAACGCGGCCAAGGTGAGGGCGGTGCACAGTATCGAGCATGAGCGAGGCCTGAAGGTCTTGACGGGCATCACGTGCATTATGCTGGCTGATGCAGCGGACATGGAGGATGAGGAGGCTTCCCGGGAGGAGCTTCTGTTTTGGACGGCGCTTCTGGTGGCGGTGGTGGCCGCGTGGGAGGCGCTGAAGTGGAGTGCGAGAAGGGCAGTAGGCGCGGTGCGGAACCTGCAGAAGGGGGAGGATTGCGGGAGTATGTCAACTACCGGAGGTGGAGTGAAGGTGAAGACTATGCAGGGTGGTAAGGAGAGGGCAAGGCAGAGGTTGCTTGAGAAAAGGGCAGACAGAGAGAGCTCCGAAGAAGGGCAGGAACGGAGCACAGAAGGAGGAGGAAGGCCGGGCAGCAGTAGTTATGCAGGGTGGAAAGTTGGAGGTGGAGATGTGAGGCAGCCCGGGTTGGCGCCGGAGAAGAGTTCTGCGGCGGAGTGGAAGGTTTCCTTGGATGAGGATGAGACAGTGGTCTGGGAGGATGTGAAGAAGATCTTCCCGGGGATCGTGAAGGAGCCGGTGGGGACGGAAGACCGCTGGTTGGAGAAGGGCGGCTACTGCATCAAGATGCACTGCAGAAGGAGGGTCACGGAGTTTGACCCACGGAGGGGCCACATGCCGAGGGAGAAGATTGGGCCGGAAAGGATCACGGTGATGAGGACGTCGGGGCCTGTCTTCGTGCTGGGCGGCGACTACACGGTGGGGTCGCGGTCTGGCCTGAGGGAGTTCGTGGGTTTCACGATCTTCAAGAAGCTGGAGGTGGGGTCTTGAGCTGGCGCCAAGGAGCGCAAGGTGGCTGAGAGCGATAAGATGCTCGACGCCATACATTTTGGCTGTTGGCACAAAGTGCCAAGGGGGGGTGCATGAGATGTGCACTTCACACGTTGACCATGCGGATGAACCGATTCCCGCAGACCTTTTTTATGCTTTGAAGGAGAAAAGTCGCCCCGGAGGTTTGCAAATCTCATGCAAGATAGTCAAACAAAGCAACCTGCGGGATGAGCATCAACTTCGGGAGGAGCATCAACACATGTCCACCATGCAACACAGCCATTGCTTTCAGAACAAAGCACTTCATCCTTGCATTTCGTTCTGCGCAAAGCGGCCGTCCACCTCGCGGTCCCTTGGAATAATGCAAGGTCTTCCCTGCCGGCATCAAGGCTTATTCTTCTATCTGTGCCTCATCTGGGCTAAGATATCCGTTTCAAAGCCCAGTGGTTTTGGCCAAATGAATGGAGGCCCTCAACGCGGAAAGCGGTCCATTTTGGATTGCTGGGTACAGTTCTGGGTCTTGAAGAACACGTTGGCTTACAAAGCAACTTATTCTGTCCCAAGCTCGGCCACCTGTGGCTCAGTGTGGGCCAAAAGATCTTAAACGTGTGATTTAGGGCGATCACACAAGCAAGTCACAGCAACAGAACCTTTCTTGGGAAGTGATAGAAGTGTAGACAATAAATCTGCGGTATGTGTCCTGGGCATAAGTTCGTGTGTGGTGGGCACTAGAGATCGTTTCCAAACAAGGTGTGGAGGACAGCTGGGTATCAGCAAGGAGCCTGGGTTTGTTCAGTCTTTGCTGGGGGCATACAATTGCCCCTTACTATGCGATTCTAGAGATTTGAGAGAGTATCCTCTTTCCTCCTGCAGTCCGCAAGCTGGTCCTCAGGCCATCATGATCACTGAGGAGTTCCTCGGCAGAAACAACAAGCTGGGGACAAAGGCTTCTTCTGCAGAGGTTGAGCCTTACACGTTCCCTCCGAAAAAGTCCATATGTTGACGACAAATGTAGGAGCACGGCATTTGGAGACCTACTGGCAGCCACCTGCCGGCTTGCGCAGGTGGCATGGATGTGCATGATCATCTTGTTTGTCGTGATGATCTCCTGAGATGAAGGGCATGCGTGTGGTTTGCTTTGCCGGGAGGGGCCTAGCTTTCACACATTCCCATCTGTGAGTTTGTCGCAACCATGGTACAGCCGTTGAGCAGCCTTAACAATCTCCTTTTTTTCTATCCAAGAGAAATCGTACTGCATCCGCGGCCAGGGAATCCCAGGTTGCCACAGCTGGTCACCATAGCTGACCAAAGGGTGTTTGTAACCAAGCCATTGACTTCTTTGATAAGAAAATTTAAGGCGCTGGATGTTTCTATTCTTCAAACATGTTGAAACAGGTGGTTGGCTTGACCCTGCAGGCAAGGAACATCCGGTTGCTGTGAACCTGGTGGCTGCGAAGCAGATTGATCTGTGGCTCAAGTTGGTCCTTACTTCAACGTTTTGAGCTGGCTCAAGGTTGTTTTTGGCGAAGCAACAGCCGGCTGGTGTGTGCGTATGTACCTCATATACTTGTCGCGACATGCCCAACATGCCGCACCCACATTGGTTCTTATCCGGAGCCTGTCAGGCTTTGGCCTTCCATGCCAAGAAGGACACCTTCCAGCAGGGCTCAGAGGACTGGCAACTCAAAGTTGTAAATCTCATTTGGTGAGATTCGAAGTGCGCAAGTGGCACTGGAATTCTGAATGTGTTTTTTTTTCCTATCAGAGTATTTACAGGCTGACGCGACACAGCCGGCCACCGGGCACCTTGCCCTGCCCGTTCTGTCACTTCCCTTTCCTGTAAGTCCGATTAGTAGATGTTAAGATTTTAAAATTCTAAAAACTTTGACATTCTAAGGGTCTCAGATTTGAAGACTTTCGGAATTTAAGGTTTCAATGGTTTAAGAATTAAGGTTTTAAGATTCAAAGATTTAAAGTTTTTGAAGGTTATAACAGCCAGGCCATTGCCCAGCCATTTTCCATCCAGTATCAGATTTCGAAGGCTTTAAGATTTCATTTTTGTGAGATTTTCAGATTTGGCGACTTTCGTAATTTAAGATTTTAAGATCTTAAGATGTCAAGACTTCAAAATTTCAAGATTAAGAGTTTAATGAATTTAAAATATAGCCCGGATTGAAGGAATTTCATTATATTTTACTTGTTTATGAATTTAAGATTTTCAGATTGCAATAGTTCGATATTGAAAGAATTTAAGTTTTTGAAACTTTTAAGATTCTGAGATTTTAAGATTTTGAGAATTTAGGAATTTCATATTTTAAGATTTGAACATCTGAAGATTCAAAGACATGAGGGTTTTAAGAAGTCAAGATTCGACGACTTTAGGATGCTTATATTTTCAGGTTGTAAGATTCTAACTTCTAAGGTTGTAATCTTAAGATCTTAAGGTTTCAAGATTTCAACAATTCAAGATTAAGAGTTTAAGGAATTTAAAATATAGCCCGGATTGAAGGAAGGTAATATTTTAATAATTTAAGATTTTCAGATTTCAATTGTTCGAGGTTTAAATAATTTAAGTTTTAAAGCTTTTTAAGATTCCGAGATTTTAAGAGTGTAAGACTTTAGGAATTTCATATTTTAAGAGTTTAAGATCTCAAGATTCTAAGACATAAGGTTTTTAAGATTTCAAGATTCGAAGACTTTAGGATGTTTTTATATTTTCAGATTTTAAGATTCTAAGTTCTAAGATTTTAAGATCTTGAGATTCTAAGATTGATTGTTAGATTTTAATTTAAGATTTTAAGAATCTAAGACTTTAGGATTTTGAGATTTCAATCCAGGCCATGTTCCATCCATTTTCCATCCACTTTGGATTTTAAGATTTTCAGGTTGCACGTTTTCGGCAAAATTGGCCCGACTTAGGGACAACATCCCCAGCATCACCCGCATCGCCAGCATGCATAACATCATCCGCATCATCCGGGATGATGCTGGTAATGCTGGGAGTGTTGTCCAGTATTAGGCACCCCCTAAAAATGCTCGTTTTTGGACTCGGTTTTGGGCGCTGCGAGGAGATGCTACAAAAATCCTCGGAAATCGCCTAAACCAATCCGCAAATCCTTCGCCCCTTATAAGGGAGGGCCCAGCATAAAACGTATGCGCATGTTCTGCGCATGTTCTGCGCATGTTCTGCGCATGGTCGGCGGCATGGGGCGCGCGGCCTTATACCTGAAGGTAAGCCCTACCGGGCTTTGGCCTGCGGCCCGATCACGTCCGGTGGCCGGATTTACACGCTGACGCGACACAGCCGGCCACCGGGCACCCCTCCCGTTCTTTCATCTCCTTTCCCTCTAAGTTTCCTGGCATGTCCCTTCACTTCCTTCCACTTCACTGCCGCTTCAGCTCCCTTCATTTCCTTGAAGACTCCTTCATTCGCATTCCTTTCCCTTTTCTATCTTTCATTTTCCTGCAGCTTGGTTTCTCTCCAGCGCCCTCTTCATTTTCGTGCAATGCCTTTGACTTGCATTTCGTTCACTTTCCAGTCACTCCTGTTTCCTTTCAGCCCCTTGTTTCGCATCGCCAGCATGCATAGCATCATCCGCATCATCCGGGATGATGCTGGCAATGCTGGGGGTGTTGTCCAGTATTAGGCACCCCCCAAAAATACTCGTTTTTGGACTCGTTCTTGGATGCTGCGGGGAGATGCTACAAAAATCGCCTAAACCAATCCGCAAATCCTTCGCCCCTTATAAGGGAGGGCCCAGCATAAAACGTATGCGCATGTTCTGCGCATGGTCCGCGCATGGTCGGCGGCATGGGGCGCGCGGCCTTATACCTGAAGGTAAGCCCTAACGGGCTTTGGCCTGCGGCCCGATCACGTCCGGTGGCCGGATTTACACGCTGACGCGACACAGCCGGCCACCGGGCACCTTGCCTTGCCCGTTCTGTCACTTAAAAATTCTAAACACTTTGAGATTCTAAGGGTCTCAGATTTGAAGACTTTTGGAATTTAAGGCTTCAATGGTTTAAGAATTAAGGTTTTAAGATTCAAAGACTTAAGGTGTTTGAAAGTTATAACAGCCAGGCCATTGCCCAGCCATTTTCCATCCATTATCAGATTTCGAAGGCTTTAAGATTTTATTTTTGGTGAGATTTTCAGATTTGGCGACTTTCGGAATGTAAGATTTTAAGATCTTAAGATGTCAAGACTTCAAAATTTCAAGATTAAGAGTTTAAGGAATTTAGAATATAGCCCGGATTGAAGGAATTTTATTATATTTTACTTGTTTATGAATTTAAGATTTTCAGATTGCAATAGTTCGAGATTTAAAGAATTTAAGTTTTGGAAGCTTTTAAGATTCTGAGATTTTAAGAGTTTGAGAATTTCGGAATTTCATATTTTAAGATCCCCAGCATCCCCCGCATCGCCAGCATGCATAGCATCATCCGCATCATCCGGGATGATGCTGGCAATGCTGGGGGTGTTGTCCAGTATTAGGCACCCCCCCAAAAATACTCGTTTTTGGACTCGTTCTTGGATGCTGCGGGGAGATGCTACAAAAACGCCCAAACCAATCCGCAAATCCTTCGCCCCTTATAAGGGAGGGCCCAGCATAAAACGTATGCGCATGTTCTGCGCATGGTCCGCGCATGGTCGGCGGCATGGGGCGCGCGGCCTTATACCTGAAGGTAAGCCCTAACGGGCTTTGGCCTGCGGCCCGATCACGTCCGGTGGCCGGATTTAGCAGGCTGACGCCTGATGCCGCCGACCCCCGTAACAGCATCACACACGTTGGAGAAACTCTGGCCCTTCTCCGTCTCTCAGCAGGATTGGCGCCAAGGTCTCGCATGCTGGGGATGCGGGGGCTGCCTTTTTGGTCTTCCATCGTTGTAGAAAAAGGCAGCTTTTGCATCCCCAGCTTCACCAGCATCATCTGCACGTGCCCGGGGAGATGCTTTGCATGCTGGGGATGCGGGGGCTGCCTTTTTGGTCTTCCATCGTTGTAGAAAAAGGCAGCTTTTGCATCCCCAGCTTCACCAGCATCATCTGCACGTGCCCGGGGAGATGCTTTGCATGCTGGGGATGCGGGGGCTGCCTTTTTGGTCTTCCATCGTTGTAGAAAAAGGCAGCTTTTGCATCCCCAGCTTCGCCGGCATCATCTGCACGTGCCCAAGAAGATGCTTTGCATGCTGGGGATGCAGGAACTGCCTTTTTGGTCTTCGAATGTCGGGAAAAAAGGCAGCTTTTGCATCCCCCGCTTCACCAGCATCATCATCTTTGCATGCTGGGGATGTGGGGGCTGCCTTTTTGGTCTTCCATCGTTGTAGAAAAAGGCAGCTTTTGCATCCCCAGCTTCACCAGCATCATCTGCACGTGCCCGGGGAGATGCTTTGCATGCTGGGGATGCGGGGGCTGCCTTTTTGGTCTTCCATCGTTGTAGAAAAAGGCAGCTTTTGCATCCCCAGCTTCGCCGGCATCATCTGCACGTGCCCGGGGAGATGCTTTGCATGCTGGGGATGCAGGAACTGCCTTTTTGGTCTTCGAATGTCGGGAAAAAAGGCAGCTTTTGCATCCCCCGCTTCACCGGCATCATCCTGCAGGTGTCTGGGGTGATGCCTGGCATGCTGGGGATGATGCTGGATGACGAGGCCGATGATGGCGCCGCTAATGATGATGAGGAGGATGACGATGATGCTGCTCAACCTGATGAATGAGGACGATGCATCATCATCATCGTCATCATCCACCATGTCGTCATCATCATCCATCATCATCCTCAGCCTCAGTAGCATCATCATCCTCAGCCTCATCATCAGCATCAGCACCATCGTCAGATCATCATCCTCATCATCCTCCTGATCATCATCATCATCCTCGTCACCATCATCATCATCATCATCGTCATCATCATCAGCGGCATCATCATCATCGGCATCACCATCATCATCATCAGCATCATCATCAAAATCATCAGCATCATCATCATCATCATCGTCATCTTCCCGTAGTCTTCCGTCATCTTCGTGTATTCTTCCGTCATCTCCCCGTAGTCTTCCGTCATCTTCCCACAGTCTTCCGTCATCTTCCCATCAGCTTCCCGTAGTCTTCCGTCAGCTTCCCATAGTCTTCCGTCCTCTTCCCGCAGTCTTCCGTCATCTTCCCATAGTCTTCCGTCATCTTCCCATCATCTCCCGTAGTCCTCCGTCATCTTCCCACAGTCTTCCGTCATCTTCCCATCAGCTTCCCGTAGTCTTCCGTCAGCTTCCCATAGTCTTCCGTCCTCTTCCCGTAGTCTTCCCGCAGTCTTCCGTCATCTTCCCGTAGTCTTCCGTCATCTTCCCATCATCTCCCGTAGTCTTCCGTCATCTTCCCGCAGTCCCGTAGTCTTCCGTCATCTTCCCGCAGTCTTCTGTCAGCTTCCCGTCATCTTCACGTAGTCTTCCGTCATCTTCCGGTAGTCTTCCGTCATCTTCCCGTAGTCCTCCGTCATCTTCCCGCAGTCTTCCACTCTTCTAGTCTTCCGTTATCTTCTCCTTGTCTTCCGTCGTCTCCCGCAGTCTTCCGTCATCTTCCCGTAGTCTTCTGTCAGCTTCCCGTCATCTTCCCGTAGTCTTCCGTCATCTTCCTAGTCTTTCATCATCATCATCCATCCTCACGGTTAAAGGTTAAAGTTAGAGGTTAGGGTTAGAGGTTAGGGTTAGAGGTTAGGGTTAGAGGTTAGGGTTAGAGGGTTAGAGGTTAGGGTTAGAGGTTAGGGTTAGAGGTTAGGGTTAGAGGTTAGAGGTTAGGGTTAGAGGTTAGGGTTAGAGGTTAGGGTTAGAGGTTAGGGTTAGAGGTTAGGGTTAGAGGTTAGGGTTAGAGGTTAGGGTTAGAGGTTAGGGTTAGAGGTTAGGGTTAGAGGTTAGGGTTAGAGGTTAGGCGTGTCAAAAATCCGCTGCGGGACCCCCCCCTCCCCCCCTCAGACTCCCCCTAACCACCACTTAGAACACGCCTCGCCCCTTTGCAGAGACTAACTTTGCTTTTGCAAAGGGGTCGGCGGATATAGTGCAAGAGAATGCTCTTCACCGTGGTCACTCTGTGGCAAGAGGAGGCAGTCAGGCTTGCCCTCAGGGCTTTCCTGGACGGGGCTTCAACGCCCCCGTGCAGAGTGCCACAAGTTGCATACCATGCAGGTGCTTCTGAAAAGCTTTGTGCAAAACACAATGAGAGAGAGAGAGAGAGAGGAACAGAGACACAGAGAGAAAGAGAGGAGAGAGAGAGAGAGAGAGCGAGGAAGAGAGACACAGAGAGAGAGAGAGAGGAAGAGAGACACAGAGAGAAAGAGAGGAGAGAGAGAGAGAGAGAGAGCGAGGAAGAGAGACACAGAGAGAAAAAGAAGAAGAGAGACACAGAGAGAAAGAGAGGAGAGAGAGAGAGAGAGAAAGCGAGACGCAGAGAGAAAGAGAGGAGAGAGAGAGAGAGAGAGAGAGAGGAAGAGAGACACAGAGAGAAAGAGGGGGGAGAGAGAGAGAGAGGAAGAGAGACACAGAGAGAAAGAGAGGAGAGAGAGAGAGAGAGAGAGAGAGAGAGAGAGAGAGAGAGAGAGAGAGAGAGAGAGAAAGAGGAGAGAGAGAGAGAGAGATATAATTGGCAACACAACCACGAGATTTGGAAAGAGGAGAGAGAGAGAGAGAGATTTAATTGGCAACACATCCACGTGATTTGTCTTGCTTTGCGAGAATCCACGGCTTGGGAAGTGCAGGGAACCCTCAGTTAAAAAGAGATACTCCAGGCCCTTCGAGGCTGTTTTTCCTCTTTTTGCTTTATTTTTAAAATGGGCTCCCTGTTCTGAGGGAGGTTTCGGATTACGTGTTTGCACCGCAAAACCAAACACAGCATAGTACCACGAGCGGAAGCTGCGGGCGGCCACATGAGATGGAAACTCGCGAGGATGGCCTCCAAGCACATTCCGATCATGCACGACCAAAGTGTCTTAACCTCCAACCACCCTGCAGCTCATGAAACGGAGTTTTGCGGGTATTGCGCATCCATGCAATGTGATAGTCACTAAGTGCAGGAGAGAACAGAGCCAGCCAGAGCATGTTTGCGTGTTACTCCGGACTCCAAATTGGCCGCTTTCCTTTCAGCTCGCAAGGTAGGTAGTGTTGGGTTTCCCTCATTGCAATTGCATGAGGAGCGCGTCCGAATCCTCTTCCAGTGCGGGCTGGTCCCTGGCAGCCTTTACAAGTGAGGCGCCGGATGGGCAATTGATCCCAAGGTGGCGCAGGATCCATAGGACATGTATGAAGGCACAAAGCAGCAATGATTCTCTTCTCCTCCCTTCGAGAGTTCTTACTTAAAAGTTGCATTCTGAAAACTTCTTTTGCAAATGAAAGGACCCAGATAATGACAAACCTCCTAGGGGACAGTTAATTATTGGGTGAGAGGATTACACCAATTCAAGGGATAGTGCATGTTTGTGTGCGCCGCTGCCGCTGATGAACCAGTTGAACCAGTTGCCAAAACAACACGCGCCATGACTACCACGAAGGCGCCATTACAGCGGCGTGGACTTCGATTCTACAGTGAGCGAGTTACGCTCATGGCTCGCATGTCAAGTTCATGCATCCGGACACTTTCACAAAAGCAAGCCGGCAGATCGGAAGCAACCACGACACCCTTGTCCCACAACATGACCCTAGCATTGAGCATATGTTCCAAATTGAAGCGTTCGTGATTTTGCTGCTACTCAGGCAAGTGGTTCATGGGAGTTCTGCTGAGATCTTTCGCAATGAATGCTCGGGCCAGATTATCAAGAAAGTGCTGCTTCCCAGAACAACAATTTTCTTGCCTGCCTGCCATACATAAGTAGCCAACCGCTTTCTGGGCATCAAGGACCTTGCTTGGCGGATCTTGCAGCGGGTAACAAAGCAGCGCGGAGGTTTCGCTAGGTCCTGACAAGAATTCTTCACTTTTGATCTTCCTTTTGGGATGGCATCGCGGAAACTGTAGGCCACAGACATGGCGCAACCTTCTAGAAGATGCGCCATTACTGGTCGAAAGGCCAAGCTTTGACACATGAACTTGGCCCCAAGTGGCCAGCCTATTCTCTGAATGAACAAGAAACCACACGAAGGATTGACGATAACCCCTTGGAAAGACAGCACCAGCTCTTGAGGAAGTGGTGTGCTGATTGGCAGTCGTGGGTGTAAGTGATGGCTTGATGACTGGAAACTCTGGACTGCGTTGTTTTTTTTTTTTTTTCATTTGTACCACGTTCACACGCCACTCCCAGCACCATTGGCATGAGGATTGGATTTGAGCCGGAGAAGCATATTCTCATTGACATTTTTGGCAGCCGCGAAGGGTAAGACGGGCACGATCTGCGCAGGAGCAACAAAAGCCGTTGGCAACAGGGAAGCTGGTTTTGGTTTCTTTGGATTAGTTGTGAGATCCCCTTGATGCCTTGCTTCGCAAAAACATCTTGAATTCTGATATGCACCAAGGATAGATAAGTCGACTGCTTTCGAGCCTATGTGTAGATCAATGTCTATATATATATATATGTATATATATATATATACACATATTATCGTGCGCGCGTGAGCGGACGCTTGGCGCCGGCAATTCGCCATGGACGATGACTTGGAGCGAGCGGCACGGAAGCACAAGATGCAGCAGCGCACTGGCGCTCTGCGTGCGCAGCAAAGACAGAGGAGACAGGAGGAGCAGGAGAAGGCGGCAGCGTCTGAGAAGGCCGCCCTTGCAGTACAGCCAGCTGCATCTTCCCAGGCAGGCAGCATTGGCAGCACTGCGGAGTCCAGAGATGCTTCCTGCGTGGCGGAAGCGCCACCTGCCCCGCCCGAAGAAGTGCCATGTCCGGGAGGACCGTTTACCTGCTTCGTTTGCACGGAGGCGAAGGAGCCGGCAGAGCGCTTTTTGCCCCACAGGTGCCGGGAGATTCCGAGCTCGCTGTGCTGCAAGCCATGCTTCATCGCCTGGGTCCACTCCCAGATTGAGGCGGACTCCCCAAATATCCGGTGCTGCCATTGCGACGAGGAGCTGTCGATGGTGACGCTGCATCGGTTGGTGGATGAGGAGCACTGGGACAGGTACTGCCAGACAGCTTTGCAGCGCAGTCTGAAGCGGGACCCGCACTTCATTTGGTGCTCCCAGTGCAATGGCGGCGGTTGGGTGGATGCCAGGCAGCCCAGTTCCGGCTGTCCTTGGAGTTGCCCCGAGTGTGGGGATTCCTTTGTCTACTGCCCGCAGTGCCGCAGGGATCACAAGAGCCTCAGCTGCAAGAAGTTTCAGCTCCTGCGCCGCGAGGTGATCCTGGGGAAGCAGACGGAGAAGGATTCCGAGGGCGTGGTGCAGCGGAGTTCCAAAAGTTGCCCATCCTGCAAGATGCCCATCCAGAAGGACGGAGGCTGCAACTACATGGACTGCCCCAACTGCCGGCGCCACTTTTGCTGGAGTTGTGGTCAGATCATGAAGGCCTCGCACCAGGCGCACCAGTGTGATGCTGGCTTCGAGGCCTCTGAGGTGGTGGCCAGGGCACCGTCGGGCCGGCCTTGTGTGGAACTGACCAGGCTGTTCATGAACGTCATAGACATCGACTCCATTGAGGTCACGAACGTGGATCCGGACGATGTGATGGACTGCCGGGACATGCTGGTGCCCAGCATCGACCAGGAGGCCAAGTCACCACTCTTCGTGGGTCCCAGTCTCATGGACGGCGAGATCCTCGTGAGGCTTCCTTTCAGCTTCACTTCAGCGCTCTCCTGGGAGCTGACTCATCTGACTTTGCGTGCCGATCACTCGCCGGCGCCCAATTGCCTTGCGCCCAAGTCCCTCTCGCTGTTACCCAACCTGCCGAGTGCGGGCTTCAGCGATTTCGAGGACAGTAACATAGCGGCCTCAGTGGATTTGGAGGAGGTCGGGGAGGGCGTGTTCCGCGCATCGCTGGAAGCATTCCGGACCAAAGGCCACTTCAAGCGGGTAAACTGCTTGACCCTGAAAGTCTCCGCAGCGCGCGTCGGAGAACATGAAGAAGAGATGCAGGTCTTCTTCAACGGCATCTCCATCTTCGGCGTGCCCGGTCAGGTGTCTTCCGGCTCCCGCAGGAATTTCATGTACGACCAGCGAGCGGAGCTGATCGTGAGCCCTGCTCTCAACAGGCGCAAATGGGGCGCGGAAGTTGAGAGCGCAAGTCAAGATGCCTAGTTTGCACTTGCCGTGTGAGACTCGCTGCGCAGTCGCGGACATTTGCTATGGTTTTCCAAAGCTTGCAAATGATGAAGTGTTGCAAGCTGTAATTGTATCAAGTTAGATGGAACGCCTAGCGCAGCCTGCGGAATTTGCGATGCGCAGGCCTTCCTTTCACCTCAGTGGCCCTTCATTCAAAGTGGCGCCAGATGTCATTCATTTGCAGGCGTGTCCAAGATTCTGTCTTTTCGCTGTACTGCGAATGCCGTGGAAAAGAAAGAACTCCATCTCCACACTGGACACAAACGGGGAAAAACATGCGTTTGTGAGAGCCTGGGACCAGACTAGAAAAGGCTGACACTTGTGCCCTGGGTGAGGTTTGCGCTGCTCTTGCGTTTCGCTGCCAGGTTTTGCACGAGAATTTGCAAGGAAGAAAAAACAGTAGCAACACTAGGATACCACACTATGTTGATTGCTCAAACTGCTGTCCACAAGAGCTAGCTCAAAGCCACAGTGAGCTTCCCATGTGCTTGGCAGGCAAACACACACGCGACACCGTGATTGCCTGCATGTTTCAAGCCCGCCATGACGACCGAAAGTTTCCGGAAGGACGTTGCCAAGAAGTTGCCGTGGCCTGAGCCAATCAAAGCTGGCCGCTGGCAGGTTTTTCGGCAAGCAGAACGCAAGCTTTTGCGTAGGAGACAACCTCTGGAATGCACAATCTCAATGCGCGGGTGCAGTCTCGGTTCCCCCCCTCTCTCGCTCTCTCCCGCTCAGGCATCAACATGTAGGAGCATGGTTGAATTTGTGAGGTTCATTGCCACCGAACTCAGGTCAGACTTGCAAGGCAGTGCAGACGAGGCCTGCGGGCTTAGGTGGCAAATGTGACTGAGGTTGCCGTTGTGTGAGTCGGCAATTGCGCCTTACCATTATTTCACCGCTTGCTGTGGTATTCTAGCTGCGATGGAGCTGGATTGCATGGTACGCCCACCTCTGTATTTGTATTTGAGTTAAAGATTGGCGCAGACTTTCAGGCTGCTCACCACATGCATGTCACGGCATTCGACAGGGTATGCCAATCTCACAGCGGGTCTTTGGCTCTCATGGCACCATGCTATGATAATATTTTGCCCAGGATGCCAAGATCGACTTCCCCAACGACCTCACCTCTTCAGCGCGGCGCCTCAAAAGTTGGCGGGTACAGGACATCTGCCCTGGATGGCCCGGAAGTTGCTAAGAAAGGTGTTCGCTCAGTGCTTGCGTGGAACCTGACAACCGACCAGCGCAAACTTTGTGGGGCAACCTCGATGCTATTGGCTCAACTTGGAGCTTCGGATAATTTTATTGCTATGACGCTATGACACCTGGTTTCGTGGTTTCGTGGCATGTGTTATGTCTTTCAAGCCATGCTCTCGGCATTTGTTAGACCCATCTCATCAGATTTCTTCTCCGCGCTTGCACCACCACCACCACCACCACCACCACCACCACCATCACCACCACCCTAGCGGACGATGAAAGCACTCATTTGCAGACTTGACAGCCGAGGATAGGAAGTACATCCACAAGATTGCCGAGTCTTTCCGCTTGCATACCTTGTCCGAGTCCCAGCTTCTGGTATGCATGCTTCGTTGCACATGGGGAGCATGGGATTTCCTGCATGTGCGTACCAAGTCGAGATGCAACCTTCAGCCGTTTAGGAAGTGAACCATGCTGAAAATGCATGATGTAGTTGCGCCCTGTTGCAGCACACATATGAGGTGGTCGAGAGGTGATTGAAAGGCATACACACCATACTCCTACCTTTTTGTCCGTCCAATAAGTTGTGCTAGCGGCTGTCGTTGCCTTTCGACTTCAACTCCCGGACAAAAAGAGTCACAGATGGTGGCTTGTGGGAGAAGCCGGGCGTGACCAATTGCAACCAGAGATATCCCTAGGTCCAGCGGCACAGGGGATGCACGCTACATCTCAGTGTACAAGAATCCGCCGGCAGGCCCCGGGCTCACCGAGTGAAGGTGGGTAGCAACCAGAAGCCTCCATCCGGCGGCTCATTTAACATATCTTTTGGGTCTGAGCCTGTAGGCCGGAGAAAAGCGTCCGGCAAGTGATGGGAAAGATGTTGGTTTCCTTTGCTTGCTGGAAGGCTGTTGGATAATAGAGTGCGCCGTGGTTCCACTCGTCTATCCACAGTCCTGGTCGCAATAAGGTTTCCCCCAACCCTGCAGAAGCTGATTAGAGAGTCCCTTGAGTTCCTAGAAGGCTCTGACATTGATTGAGCCTGTCCAAAGCACGGCAGGGAAGTGCAGGGCAGTCATGAAGGGCCTTGAGCACTTGGCTGGGTTTCTGCGTGAGGGCCAGAGAAATGTTTCCTCGATTCAGAGCTTAGCGGACAAGAAGCTTCCCAAATTGCAGAGCCCGTCGAAATGATTCGGCGAAACAAGGGGCTCGTGGGGGGGTATGGCCTGCTTTCAAGGGGGCGGCTTCTGCACCAGCTTCTTGGCAATGGCGCAATGACCCTACTATGGGCCAACACGATTGGCAGCTCTGATTGTATCAGACGGCCAAAGTCAGCAGTGTTTCCACCGTTTGAACTGCGCACTCAACTTTCTCAACTTTCCGCCATGCTGCGTTCTTGAAGCACGCGTTTTTGACGTGCTGTCTCCACAACACGTGGCGTTCCATTTTGGAGTCTGCGAGGCCAGGAAGCAAAGCGGCCCCCAAGGGAGACCGGCGCGGGAGTACTGAATCTCTCGCAGCACCCGCCGCGCTTGTCATGGGGGGCAAAGCAGACGACTGCAACCCTATGGACTTTTTAACCTTTGAACCAGAATGAATGGGTGAATATTATATCCAATCAAGCCCTTTGAGACGGAATGCCTTCATGTTCTGATCATGGGAAGAAACCGTGCTGAGGAGTGCGAAAGGCGACGGTTGTTCATGATTTCCTCGTGTTTTCACCCAGGTGCGACTCTTGGAAGGCTTCCGAGGGCGACACCGCCCGTAACTGGTGGCACGGAGGAAGACCGAGTTTAGTCGATAGCTGCGTATGCCCTTGTGCTCAGCTGTTTGCCAAACAACCGTCGCCCCCCCAATGGCCGTCAAGTGTTGGAAAAGCCATGCAAGAGCCTTCAGACAGCTATGCCAAAGCAGTCGCAAAATCAAGCAAACAACAAATGACAAGACAGCAACGCGATCAACTGGTATAGCAAAATCTAGTATATTCTGCAAGCATCTATGAACTGTGTGCCTTAATTCCATTGTTTTCCAACTCATGTACTGGGTTCCAATGCCTCTAGCCGCACGACTTGTTTGGCAGAAACTGCAACATGTCCTTCAGACAGTTTCTCTCAAGCTGACTTGGAATGCCTGAGCATCTGTTTTGGGGGGCTTTCTCGTCAAGTTGAATGAGCAGTTCATTTGTTCTATGCCAGACCCGGTCACATTCCCGGACTGTTCACAGTCAGATGAGCGAGTTACACTGGCTCCATTGTTGAGGAAGCCGTTTGAAATCGTCAGGTGGCTGGGAGCGACTGGAACGCCAATTTGCAAAGACAACCCCCCGCAATTCAGGATCAGCCGAGTATATTTGTTCTGCTTCTTTGGAATGAGCAGTTGCAAACATGCCCAATGCCTTCTGTTGTGCGAGTCCAAGCACGGTTGCTTTCGGAGCAGCAAAGCCCGTCAGTTCGGAAGGCACAACAAACACTCTCCAAACAGCGAACGCTTCCAGGGGTGTGGGTCGAAATTAGGTACCCAAAATGGAATTCTGGTAAATGGAAACAACGACTAAAGACAAAAACCTGCTATTTGAATTTGACTCGTACCCCCATTGATGCTCTTTTTTTGGTCACTAGTCACTAGAATCTTCACGGTTTTCAGGACTCGTGGGGCCAGCGGCCAAACATTTGGGGCGACCTGGCCAGGCCGGCCGCTGCACAGCGGCTGCAGCACGTGGCATGGGGCTCAGTGCGTGGGCGCGGCGCTATCTTTCCGTTCAAAGGACCGGAAAAGGACAGGGAAAGGCCAGGAAAGACCGGGAAAAAGCAAGAAAGAAGCCACAGAAAAAGAAAGACAGAATGGGCCAGATGCATCTGTTTTTGCCGGGCAGAGGATGCATCTGAAGCATCTGGGCTCAAGCATATGGCGCCTGGCGCGCCTGAGCATGAGCCATCGCAGTCTGCTAAGGCGGGCGTGGCATGAATCTTTGAACAGAGGAAGATTCAGGATCTAAAGGGCAAGCGGACAAACTGCAGTTTTGCAATATTGATGTGTGCAGGTGGAAATCCCTCCGAAAAGGTTGTAGAACCAAGTGTGTAGATGAAAAGCAAACCAAGACCACAGCATTAACCACATTTGTACTGAACCTTTGAATACATGGTCGCAGTGGCTTTCTCCTGGTGGCAGGAGAAGGTGCGGTTGGTTGTTCCTGATCCGTGTTGTGTTGCCCTGCAACGCTTTCAGCTCACTTAAATTGCTTGGGGCAGGAATTTGGTAAAAGTATCCACTGATTCAGGCATGTCCAGCTCAGAACCAAGTCAAGCTTTCCCAACTTGAATGAGATATTGGGGTAGCGCCAGTAGCGATCTTTGACGAAGCAGCCGGAGATATTGGTTGGGAGTCTTCAATGGGCTTTCCCAATGATTCCACATTGCCACAAAAGAAAAACAGAATTGAGCGGAAATCAGCAAGGATGGATGTTTCTCTGGGGTTTTCAGGCAACATGTTTCAGTGTGTATGTGCTTCAGGTTGCCGATGGGGAAATCAAGTTGCTTGCCAAAATCAAAGAGGTTGCCGCTTGCATTGCTCAGAACACCCGGCGTTTCTTTCCGGGCCGGGCCTTTCCGAACAGGACTGCTTGATCCAGGGCCTGCAGGCACACATCAGCCAGTCGGCATAAGGGCGTGCACGAAGCCTGTAGAGGCCATTGGACACTGCCTCCTTTTTTTCTTCAAGACAATTGATGAGAACGCGTGGTCTGTGCGAGGCATCAACACAGAAACATGGATGCTGAAAGTGTTCCTGGCCAGTTTTGTTTCCGAGATGCCCCAATCTTTGCCACGGGCGGCCTATGAAGTTCTGCCTTTCCTTCGTGTCGAACAAAGGGAGGAGTGATGCCAGTGTTCTGGTGAAAGTCCACCTCATGCAGCTGGCTCCAATGTTTGGCTGATGCTTGATTCTTCATTTGCCAGCCTAACGAATGGACTTGTACATGCTACCACACCAAGGACTTTACTGATCATTGCGAAGATCCCTACTAGCTGCAAATAAGGAATGTGTAGGTTGAGATTGGCTTGGTCTTGGACGCGCTGTGACCGTTCGGGTTTGGCACTGGCATACATTTCTAAACGACGCAGCACCGATGGCTTGTGTGTTGGAGAAGACTGCACTCTCAGTCTCGAAGTTCTGTCTGGGGGAACTGGCAAGCCAGCAGGAAGCTGCAGCTTTATCGGCAATCCCAAGCAGCATGAAACCTGAAGAAACCCATGGTTGGTTTTGCAGAATCGGCACCCCTTGTGGTGCAGGACGCGCTCCGCGTTTCTAGCGGCGCCCGAGGCTTCTTGCAGCAGGTGCTGGAGGCGCCGGCCTCCGAGCTCCAGATCAAGCAGAAGCAGCTGGAGGAGGCGACCGGGGGTTCAAATCCCCTGGATGGGTCTAAAGGGAAATAAACCAATCTTTCGAAAAGGAAATATTGGCCGACGCCAATCTTCTTTTTTTGAGTCCGTGAAGGCGTTCGCTGGTGCAAGGATTGGAGGGAGGTGTGGGAATATCGCTCTGAGAGACTTCTCTGGGAACATGTGCCAAATCCCAGCGCAGAACCTGGGCAACCTGAACATTTCGGGCTTGAAGGGTGTCTCCAAAGGATGGCGACCTCATTTTGCCTGACGTTTCAAACGAACCAACGGTGAATGCTGGATATGGAGGGAACCCTGACCTACCACACTGGCTTGCTTGCGCAATCAAAAGCGGGGGGCCACTTTGCTTCAGCTCTGCTGCGTTTCTTGCGGTGACATCCTCCTCCAAAAGCAGGTTTCAGAGGTTTCCACCCCCGACAGCCGCCATTTTTCGCGAAAAAGTAAGCGCCGCTTGAAGGGGCCCAGCGCGTTAGCTACGTGTTCTGGACATAGGTCTCCTTTTTGGTTGATTTGGTTGAACAATGGAGGGCGATTCCTGGTTTACCTGGTGGTTCAATACCAGGGAAACCCGCCTATTTTCCCAAAAAGGACACGGTTCTGGACGGTCCTGGCTCCTCCCCAAGCGGCGTCTGGAGCTTCCGCTTCCTCGGAAATGCCTTCGGAGCGCAGCGCCGCAGGCGGAGGCGCGGGCCGCGGCGGAGCGGGAGCTGCGGGAGGCGCTGCAGCGGCGGTTGGAGCAGAAGGCGCTGCTCTGCGAGGACGGGGCGTTGGCCGTGCCCCATTTGGCCCATTGTAGCAAACGCACAGTGAAAAAGTGACATTTGATTGTTGGCGGACTTTTCTTCAAAATGTTTTGGTGAGGTGGCCCATTTCCCCTCCCTCCAACTCACATGGCACCTGTGGGATGGTACCTGGAAGATCAAACTTTTCTTGGAGGGACCCTCTTTCAGGTGCCATGTTAGCGGGAGAGAGGGTACCCCATTTTGGTGGGTGTTAAAGAAAAAAAAACAGAAGCCCGCAAGTTTTGGAGGGGGCGCCTGAAAACAAGAGACAGCCATGCGGGGGGGAACCCTCAAACTTGTTCGATGGATTTGTAGCAGCCGTCTTCGTGGCCTCCGAAAACGACCTATTTTGGCCAGAAAGTTTGATGATGCATGAGAGGGACTCTTCCGGCGAAAGATCTGCTGCGGAGTTTGAATTTGAGAGCCGGAGATGCAGCGCTGTGTCCGTGAACCCTGGCGTATTTTCGGGACTTCGGCAGCAATCATTTCTTCAAGCTTTGCCAGCTTCTTCCTATGCACTGCGTTCTCATCAAACGCGGCAGGTTTCGAGGCTTAGCAACAACGTATTGCTTTCGGCTGTGCTTCACCTGGGCAACCCAAAACATAAGTATCAGTGGTTTGTTCATGGTTCCAAACACGGCAAAAGAACATGCCCACTCCTTTGACACCTTTGTTGTATTTCCCAAAACCATTGTACGTCCAGGCGGCTTTCCTGGGATCACAGAAGTTTAGCAGCATTGCGTGTTTCCGAACAATGCTGTGAAACATAGTGACCAAGGACAAGAAGTTGCTTTGGACAGCCGACGCCGGCCACACAAAGGAGCGTACCATGGGCCAGCGCACATAACGCCCATGAGCTAGCGGGCCCCAGCGAACTACTCGTAGCCGTGGTGTCTGCAACAGGGCATCTCACGTGTGACGCCTTCAACCATGGCTGTGGGTCAAAACCAATGTTTAGTCTATGTAATTGGGGATTGGGATATTCACTGGGGGTACGGGCTTTTGACCCCGGGCCATATGTTCCGCAATCCGTATGAACGCACCCCCCAAGCCCTGCGCGATGCCCAGTGACTCTGCCAGATAGCTGTTTCTGCAACATTGCAAGCCGTACACAAGCGACCTGTGACGTTACCAGCTTCTCGAAGGTCATTGTGAGCCTGAGCGTGACCTTGGTCACTGCAGATTGGCCGCACAACAGGTGGCCTCAGGTGCAGTGCGAGCCAATAGCATGGCCAGGCAGAATGCGGCCTCTGCGGGAGAGCGAGGGCTTTTGTGCAGGGGAGCCCTGGCTTTCAACGCTTTCTGCGGATCCATGAACCAGACAAGTGTGAGTGGGATCGCATGACTTGGAGAGGTAGCTCCCCCTGTCCAGGCAGGGATTTATCGAATCTTCAGGACTTGGCGGGGCGGAACCAGCTGCTGGAAGCCAAGCTGCTGCTGCTCGATGATAGGCCGAGCTCGGGTCAGCTTGGACAACCCATGGTTTGCTTTGTCAAACAACACCTGCCGGCTTCACCGCGAGGCGCTGGTCGCTGAAGGACGACATCTCCACCACGGCCTCCGAGGGCCAGCACAGCGCGCGCACCGAGCCGGAGGAGGACGTCATTGAGGCGGGGTCTTTGGTTTGTTCCAGGCTTTCCAAATATGGCTGTGGATCAACACCAATGGTACCATTTTGGGGTAGGTGCACCACCCATTTTAGTCTATTTTAGTGGGGATTGGGATGTTCGCAGGGCCAAACTCGCACACAGCCAGGTCTTCATCGCCAGCCTGGAGTCGCCTGCGCCAGCGCCCGCTGCGCCACCCAAGCTGCGCAACCCCGCGCGCCCGGTGCCGGCGCTGCCGCTGCCGACGGCGCCCACCCGGGCACCGCAGACGGCGCGGGGCCGCCTGGCGCGGTCGCTGGAACGGAAGAGCGCGCGGTGCCGCAGCTTGGGCAGCGAGGTGCGGGTTTTGGCCACGGAGCTGAGCCTCAGAGCTTGAGAAGGCCTCAGCAGGTGATGGGCGTGGCCGACCTGGGAAATTGCCCGGGCTCAGTGCTCGGGCTGCATGGGGTAAAATGACGGGCCTCTCAGACCAGGGGCTGTTGCGTCCGAGAGTGCCCGCGTTAAAAGATGCACGGCTAATTTGCTGGCCCAATGCGTCGCAGGGGTCAGCCTGTCTTCGTCTCCATGCGTGAAAGCGCAATGGTGGCAAGCAACATGTTTGTTGGTGTCATTTAGACCCGGTAGCTTCATAGATCCATAGATCTGTGCAGCGGTAGGACCAGCCCCGTTCCCCACTGAACTGCACTTTGCGTGCTGGAGGAGCACACCCCTTGAGACAGAAATGTGCAACTGCCATGGGGTTTGGGCATGTGAGCCCCGAAGCTGCATGGGGTTGGGTCCTCTCGGCTGCACTGGAAATTCGGGGAGTAGCACTCCTCTGTGGCCCAAACAAGCGAGGCCTCCGGAAGTGTGCACATGGAAAATGTAAATCGCCGGCCGCAGGTCATCATTGCTCTTTGCAATGCTTCACAGAGTTACTCATACATGATCTGGTTTGTGTTCCCATCACATCTGTTCACCATGGGTGCAGGATTACCGAAGTACCGCCTGCAATTTCGACATTCTTGAAATGACACATGCAGGGACAACCCCATTCCCGACTGCTTGAAAAATAAGCACACGACCCAGCTTGAGGCGTTGCATATGTAATGACAGTTAGCTCATTCGATGAGAAAAGGTGAAGCCAGGGCTGGAGTTTGTTGGAGCTGGCTGCTGGCTGTGGGGTTTCGTTTCTTAGAGATTTTGTTAGAATAAGGGCCAATCCTTTGCCACCCTTATGCTCGATTTGTCCACCCGACCAACAGGTCTGTAGTGGTTCGTTCCTCCTTCCGTTTCCTGAGGCCTCGACGGTGCCCAATGTGCCGGGCAGGGTACTGCTGGCCAAGGCGCGGAGAATTTCTTCGGCGTCAAGCGGAAGGTTCGCTCAAAGGGCAATTCGCGCAAGTGGCTGTGGGTCGAAACCCAAATCGTACCCCCAGTGAACATCCCGATCCCCACTAAAAGAGACTGAAATGGGTGGTGCACCCACCCCAAAATGGTACCATTGGTTTTGACCCATGCAAGCTGAGGGGTGGCCAGATGGGCCGATGGGCCGGTTGGCGCCAGGATTAAATGCAGAGCCTGATCCTCCGCATTCCTTTCCGAAAGCGACTCATGATGAGCCTGATTCAACCAGGCTGTTAAAGCAGGTTTCAGTCTTTCTTGCTGCTTGGTCCAACCCCGAGTCATGTCCGAAGCTGTCATGATTCATGTCCATGCTTCCCTGAGGCGCGGGGTGTTGGTGAAACTCAGACTCCAAATCATTGGGCAATTCAGAAACGCCGATTCCTGATCATCCTGATTCAAAATCATTGATTCAGAAACTTCCCCTGCTCCCAATTCACAATTTCTGATTCAGAAGCTTCTTCGGCCCGATTCACACATAGACTTTGGGATGTTTGCCGGCTTTCAAGCAAAATTGACGAGAAAGGCTATCATGTGGGAAGTAAGCAAGATAGTCGCGAAAGCTGGATTTGAGCCTGGAGACTGCTGTTCCATCATTGGAATGTGGGAGATGGGGATTGCTTCCTTGGCGAAGCCATTTTGTACACGCGTGTCTTGAGTCCTTGACCACAGCGCGGGGTTGACGCTTTGCGCTTGCATGGCATGCGGGTAGACGGGAAGTGGTACAGGACCATCTGGTTGCAAGATGACGAGACGGTGCAAATCATCGATCAAAGGCATTTGCCCCATGAGTTCGTCGTGGAGGACATCAAGTCCGTGCAGGAGATGTGCGTCGCCATCAAGGACATGCATTTGCGCGGTGCTGGTCTTATAGGCTGCGCCGCGGCATACGGCATGTACCTCAGCGCCCGTGCTGCCTGCGCTGCTGGTGATGCACAGTTGCCAGGCTCGGACGCGGCGCGGCTGAGGGACACTCGCCCCACCGCGGTGAATTTGCGCGTGGGGGTGGAGCGGGTGCAGAAGGCCATGGAGCCGGCCAGATCCTCTGGCGACCTGCAGGCTGCGGTGGAGGCTGCCAGGCTGGAGGCCAAGCGGGTCACGGACGAGGATGCGGAGTTCTGCCAGCGCATCGGCGAAGCTGGCGCTGACATCCTCCAGGAGATCTCTGTGAGAAAGGGTGGCACCGTTAACGTCTTGACGCACTGCAATGCAGGCTGGCTCGCCTTTGCCGACTGGGGTTCCGCACTCTCACCGGTCTATGTGGCGTTCAATCGGGGGCTTGCGCTTCACGTGTGGGTGGACGAAACGAGGCCCCGCAATCAGGGAGCGTCCTTGACTGCGTGGGAGCTGGCCAAGCACGGTGTGCCTCACACGGTCATCGCCGACAATGCCGGCGGCCACTTGATGAGGACCTCGCAGGTGGACGTGGTGATCACCGGCGCGGACCGGGTGACTTCCACGGGGGACGCCTGCAACAAGATCGGGACCTACCTGAAGGCCCTGGCGGCAAGGGACAACAGCCTGCCGTTTTACGTGGCGCTGCCTTCCAGCACCATCGACTGGCAGCTCAAGGATGGCGCAGACATCCCAATCGAGCAGCGAGGAGATGAGGAAGTGAAGTACGCAGAGGGCCTCTGCGACGATGGCAAGCGACGGAAGGTGCTGCTGACGCCCAAGGAGAGCAGCGCTGGAAACTGGGCCTTCGACGTGACGCCCGCCCGCCTGGTCACCGGCCTGCTCACCGAGCGGGGCCTTTGCGATGCATCGGAGGAGGGCCTCAAGAAGCTCTTCGCCTAGGCCGTGCAGGCGAAAAGAAGAAGCAACAGATCGGCTTGGCTCTTGTTTTTCGGCACTGGGGTTCGATTCTGTTGGGATGCTTCGACTTTTTCCTTCTTTTGTTTTCTCATATGTGCGACATGTTGCTGCACATTGGCTGGATGCATGCCGTGGCGCCTTCGACTTTTCATTTGGATATTCCTGGTTCGGAGGCTCGGGGAGTTGTTTGATTCTTGCGACGACAATCCACGGCCATCCTTCGGTCAGAATTGGAAGACCCACAGACCCACCAGGTGAAGCCCATGGGCCGGGCGCTGGGCCGGGTGACGGCCAAGACGCCGGTGGCACGGCCGCAGGACGGCGACGTAGCCCGGAGCCCTGCGGTTCCGGGGTCGGACCGAAGGCTTAAAATTCATTGTTTGGCATGCTTTTGATCTTCTTTGGCGTGTCAACGGAAACAAATATAGCGTCTCACGTGCAGGATCACTGACTTGATCGGCCTCCAAAGCAAACCAAGAGATCGCGAGTCACGACCTTGCACGGATCCCCGAGTTTTTGAGGCAAACATACGCGATATTGGAGACTGGCGATGCCGAACGGCTCGATCGCACTGAAGTCTGAGGTCGAGGGATACTGGCCCGACGACGCCCGGGCACTTGGCGATGCGTGCAGCAAAGCACCCCGTTGGCTCCGGCTGGAGGGTCGGAGTCAAAATGTGTGAACCTCACACATGGTGGTTATCCTTTCGGTTTCCCTTCAAGCCTCCTGAGAAAGCGCACCCCCGTGTATGTGTTTGCCAGTTTTCAGCTTGAAGGTTTGGACTATTCAGAATGGGTGAAGCCACTCGGCTGGCGATGCGGCGCTGTTTCTCATAAAGACAGGTTTTGCTGCTGCTACAAGACAGCTCAAGCTTGTAGCAACAGAAGCCTTCTTGTTGTTCACAAGTTTGTCCACTGCTCGCTTCTTGTCTAGTGACTTTTGAGATGAAGGCGTACCCTGAAGCCCAAGGTGTTGAACTGCGATTTTATTGGCAGACACGACACGGCTGTATTTACTGAGTTCATGAAATTCCTGGCCACGTCAACCAGAAACCAAAGGCTACACGCAGCAAAACAGCAAACAATCGCACGTACACCGAACCCCCCACAATATTCCGCGCAATACAACGTACTGCACCGCAACGCAACTCTCGCAGCTCAATGCAACACACACGCATGCAAACTTGACAGCACCCGCAAGCACACGTCCGCCTGTGCGCCCGCCCGCCCGCCCGCCCCCCCCACCCGCCCGCCTAAAACTTCACAGCCCCATCAGCATGACCCAACCTGAGGTTTCCCAAGGTCTGTTAACGTTTATCGCCCTGAGGACACGTGGCTCGAGGCCACAGTTTCTCAGGCCCTGGGAAGCGAGGGTTGCCGGCGCGTTCCCCGTGCATGAAGGGGCCACTCATTTTTTCCAAGATAGGGTTGAATTCCACCAGGGGCGCTAGTCCAACCAGTGGCATGTGACCTGATTGGCAACCCCGCTTCAGCCTTCGGGGTCCAATGAGCAACTCTGCCTCAAAACGGAGGGTCCAGGGCCCGCCCAGGTCATCAGGACAAAAGTTGCGCCCCTCTTGGGCCTTAGAGAACACAACCCTTCTCCTTAGAATCCTGCAAGCTGTTGCTGGGCCATTCGACACTCCAAAGCCTTTAAAGCATTGCTAATTTTGCGGGTGTCTTGCCGCACAAAACAGAGTTGAAGAGTTTGGTTTGCGGGTGATCCGCGCGGCTTTGCAGAAACAAGTAAGAGCCATGAACTTTTATGCTCCTGGAGCAAGTCAATTGATTTGGCTTACTTCTTGTGGCAGAACAGACGCATGTACATCATTGTTTCGTTACTCCGAGATCATGACAATGTCGTTGTTCACTTTTTGCAAGTTTGACAAGCACACCAATCTCGCAAACAAGGGCAGGGGACATTGAGGGCGTTTGATTTGCAATTGCCATGCCTTATTTACTGAGTACGTTTTCTTCGTTTTGTTTTTGTGCCTTGCTGGAGCAATGGCACCATATCCGTGTGTCCATAGATTTCTCAGTGGCTTTTTGCGCTTCCCTCATGTTTTCACCCTTGTCTTTACAGAAGAGGGCCCTTATCTTGCCCTTTCCAACCCTTGCCTTGCATACCCCAACCTTTTCCTCGGCCGAGAAGGTGCGGAGAAGATCGGAAGCTAACTAACACACGCAGTTGTGGCTCACTCTTCTTCAACAGCCATCACACATTCCCACACATTCAACATTTGTGAGGGAGAAGCCTGCAGAGGATGGACCAAGGGGAGACGCAAGAGCAGCAACGTACGGAAGCAAAAGGCAGCAAAACAAGCAAGACGAGGCGCCAGGGCTGCAGACAAACCTAACTGACAGGCCCAGCTTTTTTGACTGTTTATTGCACGAGGCCAATGCGTGTGTCTCCTGTTAGGCAGGGAAGGTCGAGGCTTTCCCTATGCAGGTTCTGGAGGATGGCTCCTATACGATCGCCGGAGGGCCAAGAGCAGTGCCAAAGGATGACCTTGGGGATCTTATTTGCAACAGTTCCCATTGGATAGTGAGCAAGAGAGTTTTCTTTGTCTGACACAGCATGCCTGGCATGTTGTGAACCTCAAGCCTGGCACGGCTTGGGCCGGGAAAATCGGACTCCGTGGCCAAAGTCTGGATTGCGCTGTGCCGTGGCTGCTGGCTGTGCCCAAATGAGCCACTTGCTCAAATCCCGGGGAGATGAAGGTTAGTAAGGGACAATCCCAACCATAAATAGCTGCGGATATCCGCCTTCTTAATTCTTTGCATGGTTCTGGGTCGACCATTGTAATACCGGGTTTTGATTATGACTCAAATGAAGACTAAGTTGCGTTTGATTGCCTTTGCCTCGATGCACATTATTCGGGGGAGATCCTCTAAGTCAGTACACGTGCAACACACATTGCAATGGGCGCAGCATGGCTGTAAGATTTGGCTTTTTGTCCTCTTGGGCGCATGCTGAGGGCGGGGGGTATCTAATCGAGGCGACCCGCACACACTTCAACTCTATCCCCAGAAGATCAGTTGAGCAGAATGGCATCAGTCCATGCACAGACCCTGGAAGCGATGGATTTCAAGTTTCACTTGCGACGTCCAGTGCCCTGTTTATTGTTGAGCCAGCCTTCTCGCGCATATGTACAGTAGGTGGAAATCACGGGAGGCGCAAGGAATAATTAGCCGCAAGGCCTCTCACTCAGGTCTGGTCAATGGATAACTCCGAAAGCGACGTGCCTGCTGACTACGTGCGCATAGTTGGTTGACAGCTCCCCTTCGACCCGCACCACTCCAACAAGCTCTTTTTGTTATTGAGGAGTTTCCCATGCAAGTGAGCCAATTCCAAGTGGGATGTCCAAAGAAGGTGTTTTTCCCAGGGACACATTTCCGGGCTCCCTTGTGGGGCTGGTTTGTGTGTTTCTCAACATGGTATCGCTGCTTGGGCAAAGGCACAAGTCGGGGGTGGAACTAACCTTGGTGCCTCTGCTTCGCCTTTGCCGTTTGCTGCAAGTCGCCAGGTCTACTGTGGGGCATAGGTCCAGCGTGTTGTTGCCACTTCCTTTTCATGTGGCAGTTTGCCTCATCCGGCTTTCAGTCAGCCACAGGAAACTGAGATTGAGGTCCAAAACTAACGGAGGCACACGTCGGACGTTTGACATGCCAGCCTAATGTTCCTGCAAGCAAGCCCAATACATGGATTCGCCGAACCAAGGCCCCAACCAATGGATTCTCAACGGATTCACCATATAGCACGCTTAGCCCAAGATTCCGAGCCACGTGAAACTGGAGGAATTCGGAATACTATGTTCAGCGGTTCATCCATAATCACTTCATGTGTCATATCACATCCAATTCCGAGACCGCTTATGCACGCCATTGGCCTGGGGCCATGCCCAAGTTGTCCCCAGTTTCCATCCAGGTACGCTGGCCTGGTGGGGATGCAGGCGCGGGTGCAAGGCGGAAGGAAGGGAACCTGCAGAGTTGGGAAGCAGTAGAACCCTAGCGCAGACAGTTGTTCCATTTGATGTACTTTAACCCCCCGCTTGGGTTGCCTTCGGGGATACCTTGTTTTCCAGTCAATTGGGGGTTGCCACATAAAGGAGCAGAAGCTCCGGTTTTATTGTCTCTCTAGCCTGTTAATTTAAGTGTTTTGTTGTTTAAACAGTGGGCCCTGCTCAAATAATGCGGGGTGATTCGAGGTAATTGGAGGTGGCGTGCGGTGAAGCGAGATAAACACTCATACCTTGGGTGCATTCTGCTTGTGGCTTTGCGAGCTCCCGCACCTGAGTCTCTCTGGGTGAGTTTCTCTTTTCCTGGAGATGGCTGAGGCCAGCAGCGTCTCCCTACTTAATCCCCAGCCCAATGAACCCTTCCACACGTTAAACCTTGTAAACAAGACTATCCAAGGATTGGACAAATATCGGCAGACTCTGACCGAAGACTCTATACTATTGAGACATGTTTCAACATGGATCCGAGACTCCCAACCACCTTGTCAAGGCACAAGCTGGAAGCTGCAGACCCGCTGGCTTCGGCTCAAGCGAGCATAGCATGCGCGCCTGCGAGCCTGCGGCCAAGCCAGCCGTGGCCATAGCCATCTTCAGTCACCGATCTTTCAAGCCCACCGGCGTTTTTTGCCTTTCACACGCATCACCAAACAGCAGAGTCAGAGCGCGGTGTTGGGGGGCCGCCGCGCCCCGGGCAGGCCGGGTGAGCGCAGTCGTGGGAGTGGTTTGTTGGTGGCTTGATGGTGAGCATCTTGTAATAGGAGGGTTTATGATTCGAGAATTTGGAGAGGGCATGTGGAGCTTACCCAACGTACCCACCAATTCTCCATGGGAGAGCAATGGCAGATATTAGGCTGTGGGTCAAAAATAGAGGAAACATGGACTAAAATCTGCGGTCCCCGGTCCCCGGGTGGTTTAATTTTGATCCACGTCAAAGCGAGGTGTCGGTTGGCGCCAGGTGCATGGAGCCCGGAACTGATCCGCCGGGCGCACAGGTGGGTCCCACCGAAGCTCCGTAACGGCCGCCCCAAAACCCTAGGCCAGTGAGGGTCATGGATCAGGCGATGCCAAGTGCGGTAAGTTGGACATTCTGGTTTTTCCAGTGCTTTGAGAAGATATGATTTTTGGAGCTGCGCTGTGTCGTGTTTCAGGGGAAGAGAGACGAGCGATACTAGAGAGAGAGAGAGAGAGAGGCATCTTGAAGTGAGAATGAGGCGCAGGCACCTTTTTTGAATGCGTATTGCCTTGAAGAGGATGCTTAATTGGACGTCGGGCGGGTTTCTAAGTGAATCAAGAGACGTGGCAACCTGCGTGTGACGTGTGCGTCGGGTTTGAGCCCTTGCGGTCAGCTTTTGGCTCCATTCTCCGACTGTGTGATCCAGTGGCAAGAGCTGCTTTGAGGAAGACGAGCAATTGTAGCCTCTCCATGCCAATGTTTCATGATAGCAGGACAGATGGATCCATCGTTGGTTGTTGCGATTGTTGCGGCTGTCGTGATCGGCTTGTTGCCACTTCTGTAGCTGCTGTTGTGACATTGTGGGTGTTATGGATATCCTGGCTGTATCGTATTATGTTTCTGTTGTCCTTATCAGTTTTGTCTCTATTGTTGTTGTTGCTGCTGCTGCTGCTGCTGCTGCTGCTGCTTTTGCTGCTGCTGCGGTTCTGCTGCTGCTGCTGCTGCTGCTGCTGCTGCTGCTGCTGCTGCTGCTGCTGCTGCTGCTGCTGCTGCTGCTGCTGTGGTTGTGGTTGTGGTTGTGGTTGTTGTGGTTGTTGTGGTTGTGATGGTTGTGGTGTTTGTGGTGGTTGTCGCGGTTGTGGCGGCTGTGGTGGTTGTGGTGTTGTCGCGGTTTTCGTGGTCGTCGTTCTCGTCGGAGTCCTCGTCCTCGTCGTGGTCGTCGCCGTCATCGTTGTGGTTGTCGTTTTCGTGGTCGTCGTGGTCGTTGTGGTCGTCGTGGTCCTTGTGGTCGTTGTGGTCGTCGTGGTCGTTGTGGTCGTTGTGGGCGTCGTGGCCGTGTTCGTCATGGTTGTCGTTTTTGTGGTCGGCGTCATTTTCGTTGATTCTTTGCCGTGTTGTTGTGATTGTTGTTATTGCAGTCGTTGCCATTGCTGCTGTTTTTGTTGTTGTGGTTTGTGGTAAGTGGTCAGTTGTCCGTGGCTTGTGGGTTGCGGAATGTTAGTTGCGTTTCGTTGGTTGTTAATTCCTGTTTGTGTGTTTGTTGCTCGCAGTTCGCCGTTTGCTGGTTTCTACTTGCCGTTTGCTGTTATCATTCGCAATTTCTGAGTTGCATTTTGCTGCTTGCTGTTTGCTGTTGGCTGCGGTGGTCAGGGGTGTGGGTGGCCAGGTTGCGGGTGGGTGGCGAGCGGGTGGTGGGGTGTTAGGTGGTAGTGCTGGTCGGTGCTGCCGCTTTTGAGGCACTTTGACAAGCACCGCTTCGACAACTACACAGACTGGCTTGACAGAGAGACACGGAAGCGGAACCGGCAGGAGGGCAAGCACATCGGGCACCGTGGACGCAGCAGGGAGGGGTGGTGTGGTTTTTGAGAATTGGTGTTCGCTGATTTGCTTTGGCAGTTGCTGGCTAAGCATGTTGGAGCATGAGCAAACTTTGCACCTCTTCCGATTGCGTTATTTTTTCAACACGCTCATGTTTTAGTTGAAGGGGACCGCCAAAGTCTCGGCTCCGATTTTTTTGCGTTTCCGAAGCGGCCGTGTCGGCCCCGTCGCGACCGGGAAGTCTCACCCGAGGCATGGGTTCCAAGTGCCCCAGCCGCCACATCCGCCCCGCCCTGTGCGTCCCTTCTACGTCACGGAGCAGAGCATGACGCCCGCGCCTCGAGGGGGGAGCTGCTGGTGCAGTGCTGTATGTTATGATATAGAAATGTATATGCAGTGTGGCTGTATGATATAGAAATGTGGCTGTATTGTACATCCCATCCGGATGATCCCCCCAAAGCTGACTTTGCGGCGCATGGGAGTTCATTCCTGCAGATTTGCCCAAAGAGTCCATTTTTGACACAAGGAAGAGTACAGAGAGATTTGCGCAGCCTCTCACGCAGCCCTGGCAAGGGTGCTGGAACCTGCAGCTCTACCCAGGGCACTACCCCAGGGGTATGGGTCCCCAACATATTCCTCTTGCTAAAAGGCCATTTGAGGGAATTCCTAAAGTATTGCAAGGACTTGCTGTTCTAAAAGCAGATCAACTGGAGTTGCCTGGAGAAGAAACCTGAACCAGCTAGATACTGCATATTGATGTTTGATCTCCCGCAAGTCTTTGCCTTGGAAAAACCAGTGCGGCAGCAATCGCCAGGCCAGACCCTTTGAACTCAGCTACAATATGAACTGACATATGGGTATGGGTCAAAATTAAGCCAGGGGACCGCAGGATTTGGTCCATGTTTCTGCTTACCAGGGTTCCATTTTGGGTACCTATTTTGTACCCACAGCCAGGTGACAATTGACCACTTCGGATGCGAATGGCAGATGGGGAACATTCAGTGAGAACGCCAGTGGTTTTCTGCAAGCTTGCGCCAACGCGTGCCTTTGAATCATGGGAGGGCTTAGCGTAAAGCAAGCGCTAAAATTCTGAGATGCCAATGTTGCCGTGAATTCGAAGACATTCCCCGCACAATGGAACACGCTACTGAGTGACAGCATGTTAGGCACAATGTTAGGTGTACGCTTTGTATCTCGCTAGGGCGGAACAAGCTTGAATACTTTCATGGCACTAGCCTGGATTTCAGAGTTGGCCACCATACCAAGATTTGCGCTGGGTACCCAGTGATTGGGGGTTCTTGGTTCTTGGTAGTCTGGAGCTTTACAACGCTTTAAAGCTCCCTGGGCTGTACCGAGGTTCTAGGTGTGCCAAGGGAAACAGCTGGGGGGTTTGAGGGGGGGGGGGGTCGTGGGAGGGCTTTTTCTTCTTCAGGTTTTATCATTCCATCTTCTTGGGTGTACTGGGGTGCTTCTTGTCGATCGAAAACATGATGCCTTTGAATCGGCCTGATAATTTCAGCGCACGCGGGATGTTCTAGGCATTTGGGAGGTGCTGGGCTCAACATTCAACGCCGACCTCCCAAAGTGTCTCGCACCAAAGTGTTCAGCCACCTTTCCTTCCTTGATGTCTCCCAGATGGGGCCAATACCAAGATGCGGTCATATGCCTGTGCCCAAAACACACACCTCGCCCTAAAATTGTAGCTCCCCGGGCCCTCGTTCCGCAACTGCCGGCCTCTTCTCTGGCCCCTTCGCGTGAAGATGCTTTGACCTCCCGTTTGCGTGAATATGCTCGACATGTATATGCAACTTGCGCCTTTTTGTGTTGAATTGCAAACATGAGCAACAACATACGCTGACTGATTGTATTCAAACAAGATTGGCAGTTTCTTCACTTCTTCAGCCCCTGGACCCAGCACCCAAATTTTCCTAAAATCATAGGCTTCAAAGGCAGGCCAAAAAGGAACACGCAAGGTTCTGCAATCGAGCTTTTTCCACAGGTCCGGGCTCATGGTCACACGCAAGTACAACCAGTTGGAAGCTTGGCGAGGCGTGCCAGGTTGCGGAAAGCTGTGAGATACAGCAAATGTAAACAGGGGAGAGTCTTTGGATAGTCACAATGACGACCAAGGAGTCAAGCGTGGATTCTGTGTCCCCCTACTGATAGTTCTGATGGTAGCACTTCAATTGAATGCACCCCGACGAGGTAGAGGGATCGTTGAATGGGACCCTTGGAGGCGTGAAGCAGGCGCTCCGACTCCCAAATTGACTCCAACATCCCAATGTGTAAACAAAATCATGGCCTGGACTTGGGGCCCTCGTGCTGGGCCTTTTGGCTAATTGGTCCACCCTGAACGCGCGGTTCATTGAGTCCACCAAAGAGGAGGCAGTATGGCTGAATGCAACTCAAGAGAGGAAGACTGCGCATGACATGCCTGCTCTTTCACCAGTTACCCACAACGTGCCTGGTTGCCACATTGCTAGCACTGCAGCATGCCAAGGCGGCTTGATGCTAGAATATTGCGTCGCTCCTTCCTTCCTTCCGCGAGCGCGAATCTGTGGCCGGGGGAGTGCTCACTCGTACTGCGACATATTTGAAACGGACACCTGCTCCAATTTTGGGTCAAAAAAGATGGCTCTAGGGTCTTCAGTCTCACTTAGATGGCCAATGTGAGAGGATGACGTAAAGGTGTTTAAGCACTCATAGTTTCGTCATAGATGCATGCTTGGTTAACCATAGAAGCTTTGCAGGGTTCTGCTGCGCCTCGCTCAGGAATCCAACTACCAGACGGTGGCCACCAGGTCCGATGCCCACCACTACCCCAACTACATCGATGTCAAAGATTCGGACCACTACAAGGCCCGGCCCCGGCGAAAAAAGAAGCGCGTAGGCTTCTGTTGGGAAGAGGCAACGCCTTAGGCGTCTTGTAGCACAGCTTTTGGGTGGAGCACCGTGGGGCATGCAACACGTCACCCAAAACCCTAGGGGGGGGGGGGTTAGCCAACCGAAGGACCACCGGCGCCGGAACTGCCACTGCGAGCCGGCGCGCTGGGCGGCTGCCTCAGCTGGGGCTCTGTTCCCGTGGCCTGCGCGAAAAGTGCCAATAGGATGTGTTCCCTTCCAAGCAATCCGATGTCGGACCCGGACTTGCAGAAAAACGACAGAACATAACAGCAACGTTTGCTGACCGTTTAGCTTTTGGGTGTTTTCGGCCAGGTCAACTTCCTGGGAGATTGTTCCAGTAATTTGTGCGTGCGTGCGTGCCTGCGTGCGTGCCTGCGTGCGTGCGTGACGTGCGTGCTCGCGCGTGTGTGTGTGCGCGCGTGTGTGTCTGTGTGTGTGTGTGTGTGTGGGTGTGTGTGTGTGTGTGTGTGTGGGTGTGGATGTGTGTGTGTGGGTGTGGGTGTGGGTGTGGGTGTGGGTGTGGGTGTGTTTGTGTTTGTGTTGTGTTTGTGTTTTTGTGTGTGTGTGTGTTTGCGTTTGCGTTTCTGTTTCTGTTTGTGTGTGTGTGTGGGTGTGTTTTTGAGGGTACCGTTCTTAGGTATGTTCAAAGAACGGGAAATCGACAGGAAACCCGCCAGTTTGGGTTTCCCCCTTTTGACACGTACCGAAAGGGCACCTTCGTTGAGTCCCCTGTTCCGGATGTACTATTTGACGAGCCATACCATGGAGAACTGTAAGAGAAAATCTGGTAGGTGGACATGGCTCCCCAAGTGATGTCCAACTTGGTCAATGAACATTCGACCTCCAAAATCTGAACTAGCACCGTTTTTTTTTTTTCCCAAAGCTGTCTATCCTTCCATTTGGTTAAGCATATTTCTTATTTTCCCCTGTTGGTTTTAAATGGAATCTATCACTACTGGAAATATTGTTTTCCAGGGGACTTCAGCAAATGGAAGATTCCCACACATTCAACATTTGCGAGGGAGAAGCCTGAGGATAGACCAAGGGGAGACGCAAGAGCAGCAATGTACTTCAGGTATCCCGCCCCTACCGCCCTGGCCGTCTTTTTTGGTTGAAAACGCTGAGGTGGTGGACCCTAAGCTCCGGGCCGCCGTCACGGACCGGGAGGTGGAGCAGCGGCTGAGGGCGGAGCGCGGGGAGACCAGGCGGGGAGTTCTGGGCGGACCGGGTGGCGGACCGGGTGGCGGACCGGGTGGCGGACGGGGTGGCTGTGGGTGGCTGTGCGTGGCTGTGGGTGGCTGTGGGGATCCGTTTTACTCTTTGTTGGCTGAAGCCAACACTTGACTTTTTTTTTTCTGTCTTTTTTTCTGGGACTGTCAGGGAACCAGCTTTTAGGATGGTTATTGTGGGCATATGTTTCCGGGGCTCACATGAAGCCTGTTCCCAGCCGGTTCTGTAGCCACTTCCCAGCCAGTTCCCAATCAGATCAGCTGTAACCAACCACCTGAGCAAGTTTCTGTTTCCGAATTTTGGGACATGTCCTTTCGAGTTCCAGTGTCCGAAACTCGGGACCCCTTTGGATGGGTTTGGACACCTGCCTTCTGTAGTCCTCTTGTAGGCGTCCGGATGTGTGCTCACAGGACCAAGTTGCTCGAAGTCCTCAGGGGCGGATTCCGCAAGCTTGGGGATGCCGCCTTGGTTGTTGATGGGCACACGGATGGTCTCTTTTCAGAGTCCGGCGAGCTTCGAGAGTCCCGGCTTTAGCTGCTGGCGGCCCGTTTAAACAAATGAGAAAGGAGGAACGAAGGAAGCTGCGCGATGGACGAAGCAAATTCAGTGTCTAGCCCCATCCCTTGACAACTCAGACGGGCTTGCTTGTGCCTTGTGGGCTTGATTTGAGGCAACTTTGTGGAAACGCTGTTTCTCCTTTGAAAGGAAATTATAAGTTCAGGGATGCCGTTGGCCATTGCACCGGCGTTGCATTGTCCCATAGTGTACTCCAGCACGACAACGATTGAAACGCGTTGAGGCGCTGTGCTGGATGAGAGCCTTGTTGCAACGCGCTTACCAAGCCTGGCAGTGTTCAAAGGGGCAGCATCACATTTTGGATTTTATCACAGCATATGTATATGTATATGTGTATACCTATATATGTATGTATAGAGATGCCCTTTGCAGGGTACGCATGGTTATGGCAATACATATGCTTGGATGGCTTGATTCGCACAAGTCGGCTATGATGCCTGCATGCAGATGTTTTCATTCTTCACCGAGCGGCTGGTGACACCTCAGACAGGTCTTATCCTGACCCGGACATTCTCGGGATTCTGTTCGGCGAGGACGCCCCTTGCACTGAACATTTGGAAGAAGGTCAACATCTGTAGCTGGGATTCTGCCCGAGCTGTTGATAGGGGAATTCAATGTTCAAGATGAAATCCATCTAGCCATTTCGCTGTATGCGAGCCAAAGCTGTTCGGAACCGAGCAACATTGGACTAAGCCCAAAACGGAAACCTCGCGCTCTCTTGCTTCTTTGCTGGAGAGTTGCCACGTGAGTTGAGTCGAGCGTTCACAATAAAAGCCTGCTGACTTTTGAACTGCATCAGCCAAGAGTCCCTTTGACATTTGAGACCTCTTGAAAGCGCCGGGGTATGCTTTTTGCCAACCTATGACAGGGTTTGCGATTTTGACTCTGGAAGATTTGAGGGGGGGGGGGTTCCCGGAAACAAATCCGCAGGGGCCAAAAGGCAAACAAACCTCGGACGACTCCTGTTCCATCCACGCTGCCTGACGTCCCAGTCGTTAAATGCGGAAGCTCAAACTTCGGGCCCATTTTGTCATTGCTGGGGCTGGGCTTGGGCTGGGAGTGCGAACCAAGCCTTAGTTGGAAATGGTGGGTGGTTCACACGGGGGAATGATTCCCAACAGCTCGTGATCCACGCTTGGTACGCCTTCTTCTTGGCGCTTGTAATGGTGCAATTGGTGCAGATGGGCTGCGTGTCTGCCGGCTTTGGCCTGCTTGATCTCGCCTGAAACGAAGCGAGCCATCGCTTGTCAATTCTACTCAAGAACCTCATTGTGGAGTCGCAAGCAACTGGCAGACGGAGTCCCCCAATGCCCTTTTTTCAAAAATACCTCTTTCCGTCCAGCAACGAATTGGCCAAAGATGAAGGACACACACACACGCCCAGCCATGCGACCACCAAGTGGCCGAGCGAGCACCCTTCAGCGCCAGCCGGTGGGCTGGGGATCCCAGGTGAAGCCACAGAAGGAGACGTTCAAGCAGCTGAATGTGGACCTCTCCTGCGTGGACCTGCCCCACCAGGCTGCGGGGCGAAGTAACCCGAACCTTTGTGGACTGGACTGGATTGTTTGTGTTTTTCTCCTCGCTGATGGAATTTTTCGGTTGGCCAATTTGACAAATTTATTTTTTTGAGTTTTTCCTTTTGTTTTTCCTCCGTCTTTGGCCAATTTGTCGGTGCGCTGGATTTGGCTTGAGTCGCCCCGGCAAGCGATTCTACTCCTTGGAGTTTTTCCCGATTGTAGCGCTCCGTACTGACCTTTGAGAACAAGTCACTGTCAGAAGCGCGAGGAGGGAAGTTCATGGATCTTTGAGGCAGACTTGCAGGTAGGAAAGGGTCCTCCACGCCCAAGCTGCCCAGATGAATTCTTTTGTTTCGGCTGGGCAGTTCTACACTCCAAAGCAAAGTTGTTTGTCTTGGCTGATATCCAAACTGGGTTGGCCACCATCTCTGACCAGTAGTTTCCTGGAAAGCCCCAGGCGGCAAGTTTGATCCAAAGCGTTGAAAGGACGCCAAGTACTCAATGCAGATATCCCTTGCTCACGCATGAAGAAGGCTGGTGCAGTCCTGCAGACTTGGCTTCCCCTGTGCAGCCCCTTGGGTTTTGGCTTCGGTGTCTCATGGCGGCATGGCCGGGCGAGCGGGCCCCTGGGCTCCCGACTGGCTGCCGGTTTCTCCCCGAATCGGGGCCGCATGGAACTCTGCGACTTTCCGGGGCCCAAATGTCCCTGTCTCCTCTCAACTAGCTCCCCCAGTAGTGCCCTTTTGCCCTTGTTTGGGGAGGGTTCCCGAAAAACAGTTGGTACCCTCATTCTAACCTCTCTGCTGGAGGACCTAGTCAAACTTTCCGACTTCCCGTCAGGAGGGCGGGCCGGTGAAGGGGCGCCAGAAGTTTCTGGAGCGGAAGAACTTCATGCCAGAGCCGGTGCCGCCGCCGGAGCGGTGGGCGATCGTTTTTTCCATTCTCAGGTGGCAAGCTGCGAGGAGGCAACTGCATGTTGTTTCACGGTGCATAACCAGAAACCTTGACTTGCGGCTTTCCGCAGTTCGGATATTTGCTTCAGACCCAAAGCTGTGGTTGTGCGCAGGCCGCTGGCTCATCCTTCAATCGATTACATCACAGGGTCAAAAAGCACGCACACAACAGGCCTTGGCGCTGTTCATGCGGGTTTGTCTCACACAGCGGAAATCCCCACAACGGGTGGTTTGCTTTTGGTTTTCCTTTAAACCAACCCACAAAATAATTACCCTCAACAAAAAACACGCCCATGCCCAGCTGCGATATTCAAAGGTTTCATGACAGTGCAACACGGTCTCGAGCTTGTTCTTCGGCGTCTTCGCTTTGTGCTTTATTTGCGCTTCTTCGCCGCGTTTTGCCGGGATATGCTCCGTATTTTGCTCGTGTTGTTTGTTTGTAGCTGTTGTTGTTTGTTTGTCGTGCTTGTTAGTTTGCTGGTTTGCGTGCTTTCTTGCTTGTTTGCCAATTTGCTTGTCTTCTTTTATGTTTTTTTGCTCGTTTGCATGGTTGCATTGTTTGATTGATGTTTGGATTGATTGATTGATTGATTGATTGTAATGGAATGGATTGGATTGGATCGGATCGGATCGGATTGGGTTGGGTTGGATTTGATTGATTGATTTGATTTGATTTGATTGATTGATTTGATTTGATTTGATTTGATTTGATTTGATTTGATTTGATTTGATTGATTGATTGATTGATTGATTGATTGATTGATGGCTGGATTGGATTGGAGTGGAGTGGATTGGATTGGATTGGATCGCATGTTGATTTGAGTTGATTTGATCTGGTTGGATTTTGTTTTGATTTGGCTTGAATTGTTTTGTTTCGCTTGTCCGTTTGTTTGTGTTTGTTTGCTTGCTTGCTTGTTTGTTTGTTTAGGCCGGTTGTGCGTTCCTTGCCGTGTTGCCTTCTTAGTTGTTTGTTGTTGATGCCCGCCACAGCGAAGCAGAACTAGAGGGCAAGCCTGTACCGGCATGGTCGAACGCAAACGATTTCTTCAGATATCCAGATGCAATGATCCAAATGCCTTTGGAGAATTGGACAGGGAAGGTGAGGGGAGGGGTGGGCAAGTGCCTTCAGGAGGAGGTGGAGGCAGAGATGGCGCGCAGCGGCTGGCCACTGGGCAGATTTGGGGTCTAACCTGGAGGTAGGCAATAGCACTGAGACGGACTTCGGGTTGTTTTGGTTGGTTGCTCGCTCGTGTTGCTGGGTTGTCGGGGTTGGTTGCCTGGATGGGACGCGGGTGGTTGGTGCATTGGTCAGTTGGTTGGGTGATTCTCGGTCATCTTGGACAAACCTCCTAGGGCTAGCCAGAAGCCGGGCTTGAAAAACAGAAGCCTTCAACCAAACAGCAAACAAATGGTTGTTGACTCACAGAATACTTAGGAGGTACGATTCCATCTCAACCAACTAAGCTTTGACACATCCTCAAACTGTGAGAGGTTCGAATGTTGTTTCAACACAGTTCGAAGTGCAATTCTCAGCAACTCTGGTGCGATTGCTACCTGTTTGTACGCCCGTTCTGACAGAAACATCTTTCCCTTTCGGAGGTTGTTCGTGAACAGCCACACAGCGGTGAAGCCTGACAGGTATTTCACATTCTTGTGAAGATTCGCGGCTCCACCTAACGCTTCCCCCCCGACATCAACTTTGCCGTGCCCAACCAAAATGGGATGGAGTGTCCAATGGGAGCATGGTCTTGAAATGGTGCAGGTGCTCCGCTCTTGAAGCCCCTTTGTATCCAATTGCAGGATCGGTAATTGAAACTCATGGTGGAACTCGTGCCATCTCTTGACCGGATGGCGATGTTTTTGCCCAATGGCCATGGTTTTTTGATCATTCTCCAGGAGAAAAGACGGTTCAACTTGAAGCGGGGATCCAACACTCACCTGTTCTCTGGCGGAGCTTTTGACATGCTCGGTTCACTTTGTTCCATTGACGGAATCTCGGATGGGACCCCCTTCGAAGGGGACCCTGTGGTGAAGGCGAAGCCAATTTCGAAACCACAGAAGCGGGAGACAAGCTGAATCTCTGAGGAAGTGGTGCAAGGAGGAGCGGAAGTTGCTGGATACCACCGCAGTGCCTTGACTGACCTTCCAACCGGGGGATTGGTTTCCCCTGCTGTGAAACATTGGAGATGGATCGCCATAAATAGGGTTCTTGGTTCTTTCATTGCTGTGCTTTTCAACACCTTTCAAACCTGGCCCCATTTTACGAAGCACCCGAATAGTGATGGATTGACGAAGACAGACAACAAGAGGAAGCGAGGGACGAAGTGGAATGATCTCTTGGGTTTGGTCAGCAATGAAAATAATTGGTACGACCCTGACATCCAATGTTTTCAAGTCTTGCCATGTACGCAATGTGTCCAAAGATCCGTGGTTCCTTTGGGTTTGTCTTCACTCTCCGGACCCGTGCCGCTTGGCCAAGCGCCCTTTTCCCATTCCTGGCGCGTTAGTTGAAAGTGTTCGAAGCGGCCGAGTTTCGGGCTTCGTCGGAAGTGTGAAGCGATGCGGAGGGCATGGAAGCTTTGGCTGGCTTTCGAAGAATGGCCTGCTCGGTTCAGCGTACGGCCGACCCACAGCTGACCTTTTGCTGGCCTCAAACACCCGCGGATTTCCATCCTAGTTCTAAGGGAAGTCATTCGTGTGCCAGGCCCCGGTTTTCAGATCCTTAGGCCTGGAGTGAGGAGAAGGCGCAGCTGCACCGCAGCCAAAGCCTTCCGCAGGCCGCGCGGGTGGGGGTGGGGGGGGAATGGTGAGTTTCCCCGCATTCATGTAGGGAACAATTTCGGCGCGCATGTGTGTGTATGTGTGTATATGTGTGTGTATGTGTGTATATTATATGTGTGTATATGTGTGTATGTGTGTGTATATGTGTGTATATGTGTGTCCGTGTGTCCGTGTGTCTGTGTCTGTTCTGTGTGTGTGTGTGTGTGGGGACTTCTTGCCCCAGAAAGGCTGCTGCGCTGTCCTCCCTCTTGCGTACTTCTCTTGAAACAGGACCACCCCCCCCCGTCCCCCCCCCCCCCCTTCACCCCCCAGAATGGGCGTTTTTTTCCCTTGTTCCCTCCACTGAGTCCCCGTCGCGTCAGGGCCTGGCGGGTCCCTCCTTGCTGCCGGGCGCCAACGGCGCCCCCGCCTCGCCCTTCCACGGCCTCGCCACCCGGCGCTTCGGAGAGGCGCGCTTTTGGTGCGCGCGGAGACGGTGAGGTGGACCTTAGATGCGGGTCCAAGCCAATGGTACCATTTTGGGGTAGGTGCACCACCCATTTCAGGAGTGGGATGTTCACTGGGGGGTACGGGATTTTGACCCATGGCCAGATGTCGTTTCTATATGTTTTTGTTTGACCTGTTATTCCTGAAAACATTGCGCAGGGTTCTTCTGGAAGAAAAACAAACTGGTGCCAATGGCGCAGGTACAGTTGCACTGAGCAAGTTACACCCATCTTCTAGGTGTAGACTCGAGATGCGTGACTTCAGGTGCAAGACAGTAGAGGCGTGTGTGGACATCGACTCTATTGATGATGATTCACGATGGGAAACATGTCGACGCGACCTTGACTGTGGATTTCTCAGGCTTGCGATTAAGCAGCACGTCAGAAGTGCAAGGGTGGGCACCGGCCCAAGATACTGTTAGATGCATATATTCTCAAAGAAGTCTTGTCATCGGGCAACAACTTTCTGACGTGAGGCTCTGGGAATCAAGGTTGGCCCGCTGGTTATTGTGGTTGGCCCATCGTCGAAACTTTCCAGTCGACGCCTTGGCATAGGACTCGGGCTGGGATGGCCGCATGCGGGGCTCGCTGCTGGCGCGGCGGAACTGGGCAGGCACAGCACCGGACAAGGACTCCGATGGGACAGCCTCCCGGGTTGCCTGGCATGTGGTTGCCACGGTACTTATACATAAACAAGGCTGTGGGTCAAAACCAATGGTACCATTTTTGGGGTAAGTGCATTATTCATTTTCGTCTATTTTAGTGGGAATTGGGATGTTCACTGAGGGTATGGGATTTTGACCCATGGCCATATGGCACCCTCCTAGGAACGTATCCAAAAGGAAGACATACGAAACTGACCTTGACCCGAGGGCTGTTCTTCAAGGCCAGCAATGTTTTGCCAGTTTAGGAAGGCAGCCAATGTGATGAGTGAATTGATCTGAGGGTTGTGAGGGGGGAGTCCGCGGCCGATGGAGACAGCACGCACGGAATCGCTAGCTTGTATACGGTCACCTTGGCCCGCCCTTTGCAGAAGTCTTCCACATTCCCACGTATGGTCTGAAGTAATGGGCACTGCGTTTTGTCAGGCCCAAGGGGAACCTTGTGAAATCCTGGATAGGCAGGGCTCGGTGCATCTGAGGCAATTGAATGGACCTCGTCATTTGTGAAGCATCCGAAAAGCTGCGCCCTGCTGAGATGGGAAGAAGCCCATATTTGTTTTGCCGATGTCTTGCTAGGGAATCGCTTGTTTCACGTTCGAGAGTTCTTCTTTGATTGATTTGAATGCATCTGGATTTCTCCCTGCAGTCATGGAAGTGGACAGGAAACCTTCCCAGCAGAGGAAGCCCTGCAGGCAGTTAGCTCCCCTGGTTGTAGTTGATGCAAGTTCGTCCAGCCTCGCATCGTCCCGTGCCCCCGATGCTTGCTTGCTGGTAGGGGTACTAGAGTGACTAAAAAAGTCAGTAGGCACATGGAGGCCGAATGTGGACAACTCGCTTCCTGGGAAATCTCCTAATTTCCTGTACCTATTGCTTGTGTGTGCCAACTGATTTTTGCTTGCCAAAAACTTCTCGGGGCCAGCTTTTCTTGGCCGCAGGACTGCAAACGCTGAGCGCTCTGAGAACTTTGGAGCAGGTCGGAGCGCGCACTCCGCGCAACTGGAGCTGCGAGAAGCGTGCACGTGGCATAGCGTTTTGATGTTCAAGTCTTGCATTTTGACAAGTTGGATAGCTGCTGCCAGATTCTTGGTACCAATCTGTAAAATGGAGACTGCCCCAAGTTGGTGATCAGTCTTATCGAAGTCACAGTTTCAGGTGCCTAGCCTGGTAGTTGTTCAAACTCCAACCTATTTGGACCTGCTGCTCTAGGAGGTATCTCCATCAACAGCCGCAGTGCGCTTTGTGAGATAGGCAGGCTAACTTTTCCCGGCTGTTCCAACATTCTGCTGCACGCTCTCGGCGCCAGCCGAATGTGTGAAGTTTCACTGGCCTCGTTTCAACTTCTGCAGTCGGCGTGTTGGTCCGATCCGGGAGAAAGCCATGAGCCAGGCAGGTCCCAGAAGAGAAGAATGAGGGCCCAGGGCCCAGGACCAAACCTTTGCGGATGGAAACAATGACGCGTTGCCGTATATCCCTGCCAGATACATTTTGCCCATTTGAAACATGGCTTTTTCCACCAAACGAAAGGGAAGCCACCATTTACAAGGCAATGTTCAGGTGTATAATGTAAGGATCCTTGTGGAAAAAATGACGCATTGCCGTATATCCCTGGCAGGAAGCCCCCGAGAAATGACTGCAAGCAGATGATGGTCTTGTGTTCTTTGTTGCTCAAGGGTTCGGAACACAGGGAGGGAAAGAACTTTCTATTGCGAAAGACATGCACAGCTGAGTCAATTGCCTCGTAGTCCCTGAAGTGCGGTTCGATGCCCATGCACCAGGTTGAGCTTGTCTCACGAATGTCTGCTCAGGGGCGTAGGCACCACCGAGGTTCGCTTCTCATCGTGAGATACCGACAAGACCAAATTTCTGAGTGACGTCGAAGGCCATGCGAAGACCTCCACGCAATGTGTCACCTTACAACGCGCGCATGGCAAAGCCACGTGGGCGAAGCAAAAAAGAAGCTGCCACGGGGAGGCGAGAGGACCTGTGTTTGATACATCATAGCTTGATGGCTTGCTAGCGCTTGCAAGGGATATTCCAATTGTGCCATTGCTTGGCTTGGTACGTTGCCTTGTTCAATCATTTTTGACCGCAGAAGCAGCGCGTGGAAGAGAATCAACAGCTTCCAACTGCTAGCTCAAGGGTTTTGTTCTGCAATTCTAGAAGCGTACACCTGGCTTTCCATACGTCTTTCACTCCCCCGTATCTACATATATATGTATATATATATATGTATATACACACACGCAGGACTAAGACCCCTCTAAAATCTCAGTGTTTCAATCAGCAACTGCAGCTTCTCCAATCGTTTTGGGGCTCCGAACCTCGAACTACGCGTTGGTGGTGCGGCATGACATGGTTTCCACCACAAGACAACGACATGTACATGATAACGATGATGATGATGATGATGATGATGATGATGATGATGATGATGATGATGATGATGATGATGGTGATGGTGATGGTGATGGTGATGGTGATGGTGATGGTGATGGTGATGGTGATGGTGATGGTGATGGTGATGGTGATGGTGATGATGATGATGATGATGATGATGATGATGATGATGATGATGATGATGAGATATGTATATATATATATATATATACACACACTACATATATATATATATATATATATATATGTCGGCAAGGGCAGCGCACCCGTCTGTCATTGCTAGCCTTAAACATGCTATCTACACGGCTGCCTCAGCTGAGTGAACATTGCCGGGCACATTCTCTCAGGCCACTGGGATTACAGTCAAGTGTCCTTGTTCTCGCTTTGTACTCAACGAATCTGAAGATTCGCCTTGCAAACGGGAGTCAATCGTTGAGCCGACTCTCTGGCGCCCAGGGAAACCCAGCCGACGCAAAAGTGTGTTTCTGGAGCCCAGGCAGGTCAAACCGCGGCGACTCAGGCGAAGAGGCGCCCGGCCCGGATCTGGATGCTGTGGAGATGAACGTCGACACCATGGTGTGGGCCTTGGGGTGCGACCTCCTGTTGAAGCCGCCAGGCTTGGAGATTGGAATTGAGGCTCGGAATATGAGCGCACAAAGCCCGCTCCTCCGTTTTGCCCAGAAGGTTTCTTCTCCGCAGAATGAAATAGAACCAATTCGCAGAGCAAGATCGGCCAAACTTTGCCTGTCAGCATGGACGGTCGGTCCTGGTGCTTGAGGTGCTTGAGGTGATCCGCAGGTTGTTCGTGCAAGCCAACTTCAATTAAGTGTTTTGATTTGATGTTGAAGCATGGGGCATCATGTATTCGATAAGGTCGTTATCCATTTCTTGGCAGCCATGTTTGGTTGGGTCATGCAGCACGATTGCAAGCGCGTGCTGCGGGTGCAGGCTCTGTTGTCAAGCTGGCGATTTTCTCTCTTGGCGAGAGCTCTGATTCCGCCATTTCGTTCGGTCGGGCCGCTCGCTTTGGCACGTGGCATGGGATGCGTCCCGTCTGGTGCAAGATACCCTCCATGGCGCGTTTCCTTCGAGCTGGCCAAAAGGGTTGAAGGGCTGCCTGCTTCATGTGGAGAGTAATCAGGTGTTCCAAAGAGATTGGTTTCAAGGGCCACGTTTGTTTCCTTCCCTGGGGTTATTAGTGTGAAGTGGCTTGTCATTTCGTCTTGGGTTTCGTCAAGGGTGCAGTTTCCAAAGAAGACCCGTTTAACCACATGTTGGTGGACAGAGGCCTTTTTTTCCCTCGCGGTTGACGCCCACGCAAAGTCAAGTCTTGCCGCTTTCTGCTTACTTAGGAGGCGACGCTGGATGAGCGCCGCGGTCTCATGAGAGAGATTGTGCCGTTTCAGCCCATGCAAAATGTAAGATTCTCTTTTTGAACTTTCAGAAGTTGAAGGGCTTTTGGGAGTTAGTTAGTTTTGAATGGGACCCAACAGAAGTCACACGATGACTGACACTGCCTATCTTGGGCAGCAGCTGTGGGGGCGGCTGCAACTTCTGCTGGCATGCAATAGCACCATGTGGACTGTCGGGCGCAAGGCCGAGTGTTGCCGCAGTACTCCGCTCTGGGTGAGAAGCGGGAGGCATGGAGAGCTTGTCCCCCAAACCGCTATGCGTCTACCTCAACCAGTGGGAAGTAGTGGCCAGAGCCTGCCAGAGGTGACGCGGTGCGGTTTTCTTGTCAGGCGCTTCCTGCCTACAAGCAGCGCAGCCAAGTGGCCAATGCCTCAGACACACCTCAGCAGTTCCTTTCCGGACGCATGATCCATGTGATCCCTTCCCTAGGGCCCTAGGGCCCAGGCGGCCTATCGGCGACCTTGTTTTGGTGCTCCTGGCATCTCCAGCCGCGGTGGGATGGCCAGGGGATCACCTGCATGCCCTTCTTGCATTCTCGCTGTTGCAAGGCACAAGATGTGTGGTGGACGCCCGTTCTACCCATGCTTAGATACAGCTGTCTCTTGAATGGGCTCTTTTTGGTAGGGTTCTGTCTCATGTTGGTTGCTGTCCTGTTGCTCAAGCAGCTTGTCTTGGGAGCGCACTCGTTTCCCGCGCGTCTAAATCTCATCGTTTCTCGCGAGTCATATCTCCTCGTTTCTCACCAGTCGTTTCTCCAGGTTTTTACACTGTAATGGGCCATCCATCCATCCATCCATCCATCCATCCATCCATCCATCCATCCATCCATCCATCCATCCATCCATCCATCCACCCACCCACCCACCCACCCACCCACCCACCCACCCACCCACCCACCCACCCACCCACCCATCCATCTGTATTGCAATCCAGCAATCCAGACGGTGAAACCTTTTTTCCTGGCAACATGAGGAATGAGGAATACTCCCTAAACCTAAGCCCTAAACACCCTAGACCTAAACCCTCCGAACCCGAAACTTAAAACTCCAAAAAACCCAAACGTAAACCCTCCGAACCCCAAACCTAAACCCAAACCTAAACCCGAAAAACCCTAAAACCCTAAAACCCTGAACCCCAATAGCCCGGACCTAAACCCTTAAGACCCTAAACTTGAACCCTAAAACCCTAAACCCACACCCCAAAAACTCCAAACCTAAGACCTAAAACCCTAAACTAAAACCCGAAACCCCTAAACCCATTCGCACTCGTTTCTCGCAAGTCCAACCTCGTTTCTCATACGTTTTATGGGCAAAGTGAAGAACCCGCACAATTGTCTTAAAATGAGGTTACTTGTGAAAATTGAGGGAATGTCTCTTGTGACAATTAAGGGCTTCGGGGTCAAAAAAGAACTAGCATTGGCAAGATGTCTTCATATCTATGGTGAGGAAGGTGAGATGTTCGAGGGTCAACCGACGATGTGGCTGATGACGGTAGCCCCAAATAGAATTTCCTCACTAGGTCGTACTTCCTGCCTGCGTCGTTTAGGTCTCCTAAACCAAAGCTCATGCCATCAGGCTTGGGCCCGCCATGCCAGATACATCCAGCAGTTCCGCTCGCGAATTGGCGGGCTTGGGAAACCCATTTTGTGAAAGTTGGATGGGCCACCCTCATGCTTGTGGATGCTTGGCATGTGTTTCAATCCCCTGCGTTGTGACCCAATCAATGACCAAAGTTACCTGACTTGTGAACAATTGTGCCGACCCAGAACCAACATCAGGGTTGAGTTGACGACACCGGCATCCCGTGTTTCATCGTGAAGCAGACTTCGATACAGCGATGCATCGAGGTGTTAGTTTTGCCATGCTTATTCTAGACCGGCTGCGCGCGCGCGGCACAATCTGGGACCGTCAAACAGAAGTCAACTTGGCCCTCCAACTGGGCAACCATTCTGGCCTTTCGAAAAGGTTGGAGCAGCAAGCAGGGCGTCCATGCCGCGATTTCTCCGCTTCTTTGGGCCCGGCCAGCTGGAAGCCCAGGTGACGGCAGTGAAGGACAGCCAGGTGGTGCTCCTCAGCGGCGAGACGGGCTGCGGCAAGTCCACCCAGGCGCCATGCGGGGGGGGGGAGGGCGAACGTGGAAGGGGCGGTCTCAAACGAACCAAACTTTGAAGGGCTTAGGCAAGCCTTCTTCCTTCTTAGCAATGTATACCTTGAAAGGCACAACCTCCCCGGGAGAGAAGGAACGTGCCCGTCATCCAATTGCGAAACATGCGCGACGCATCATTTCAAGAGAAAGTCACAAGGCTGGCGTTTGCGCTGGGCTATCAGTATCTTTTCTTTTTGGCTGGTGGCAAAACGGCCCAATCCGGGTGAGATGCAGTCTACTGCGGCCGCATTGGTCAATGGCCCGGTGGGTGTTATCCCAAGCCTCGAGGTGCCGCAGCTGATTTTGGATGCTGCCCCGGAGGCGCGGGGGGTTGGGGGGGGGGGGGGTTGAGCGGATGGGCCGGCCCGTTTGAGCGGAGTGGCGGAGGACATCTTGTGCCACAGATATCTGCTCGGCTGAAGACCCATCCGCAATGTGCGTTCTGTTCGGTCTCTCATTCCTCAGGTTTGTGGGTGCGTTCCATGACCGAGCCACGGGTGCTATCCTGGCCTTTTGCAAGCGGAGGACAACGCGCGCGGACGATTTGCTTGGTTCGAGTTCCAACATGTGAGCGGCCTGCGAGCGAGACTAACACGAGCAAATGGAGCTTGTAATTTCCTGCTCAGGCAACATGGCCATGCCCCAAACCTCAAGGCAGCATCAAGTCCACAGCCGCAGCCAACGGATGAAACAGTGCCTGCGCAGGCCATGAGCAGCAAGAAATAGACGTGAGAGCCAGGATCCTTTGCTGACACAAATTCACATCCGGCGGGCGCCGAAGGCGCAAGCGTCAGCCCATGGGCCACTGCAGCTCAGTGGCCAGTCACTGCGGCAAGCTCTGCGATGACGCAGAGGAGATCAGAGCAGCTCGCCCGGGCCAGGCGGACCGAGGGGCTGAGCGCAAGCTGAGAGGGGAGAGTGGAGGGTTTGTTCTCTAAATCGAAGCTTCAAACAAGGCGAAGCGCAACTGCCTGTCCCCATGACTGCAACTGCATGGGACAAGCGCCAGAACCAACTTTGTGTCCGTGAGGGCTGATAGAACCTATGCATGGATGCAGAACAGGGGGAAAGACATGATTTACTGGCCACAGAGGTGCCCGAGATCTCCAGGTGCAAGCGCCACGGCGCCTCAAGATTGCCGTCATGCGGCATGGGGAGCGCGCAGACCAGGCGAATCCCCGGATGTGGCACCTTGGCGTGGCGCCTTTGTGCTTACAGAACGCGTTTGCATTTCAAGACTTGTTGTTACCTACAAGCACTTCCAGTTGGGAGGCTATAAACAGCGGAATGAAAGCCGGCGTTTTAGCCGTTTCTTGTTCAAGAAGTCAGGCTTAGCAGTCGTTCTTTTTTGGGTTCCATGATCCACTTAAACCGTCTGAGCTGCAGCAAGTAATGCAAGTAGTAGCGTGTTGCTGTGCGGATTTTCACAGAGCAGAGGACAAACCACTGGCTCTCATGTCCGTGTCTGTCTCCTTTTTGGGGAAGCGATCAACACCCATGCCGAAGAAGGGTCCATCAACTTCCCTTGCCCCAGTTGTGACGACGGGATCTATGACAGTACACGCACTGCCATTCGCAGAAGCTCAGACATGTGCTTTCTTCATGAACAGCGAGTCAGTGAGGTCGATGTATTTGACAGTGTTTCAGCGTTTGCCGGTATTGTGGCACCCAGCAGAGTTTCGTTAGTTGACAGGATACTTTGGATGGCATCCACGTCTTTCAATCGAATGGTTCCCAAAAGATTCCCTTTGTCAACTTGTTCGTTCCCTGCAGCCTGAGACGCTGACAAGGTTCCGCTCGATGCTCGGGCGGCGCTACCCCTTCGACCCTCCTCTGACGATGGCTGGAACCAAACAAGCCCGTTCGGCTGCAAAGGACTGGACTTGGCAGACCTAGCAGATCTTCGACCATGATTTCGCATGAACTCTCTTGGCGTGTTGTCAAGTTTGCTCTGGATGCTCTAACAAGGAGGTCATCATGCACTTCCCTACTTTTGCTGGCATGGTTCGATGGACAGCCAAATATACTCGCATGTCCGCTGAAAGCTCAATGGTCAAACATATGAATGTTGTGCTAGTCAAATGTCCTTTGTTTGCAATCATTTGAGAACCATGGAAGCAAACGATCCTGGCCCACCATGACTCCTTCGTTCCAGCGAGTTCTTTGGCAGATAGGACATGTCGAACCAGGCTTGACGCCACGCAATGGCACACAGTCCTACAGGGACACGGATGTTCATTTCAGACAACATTTCAGCCGGGTGGCACATGTCCTTGGGCGCTCAGAGACAGGCGGTACTTGGCAAACACAGCACAAGCAATCCTTTGCCTGTTTGCCCTGTGTTGTTGAAGACAAACCTAGGCGTTTGTCTCAGATGGTTCCGACCAAGAGCGTGGCAGAGAGCCAGGTGCTTCTCCCTGACCATTAGCTGCCAAGCAAGGCTCATCGAAGTTGAAACTTTCTTGGCAAAAATTAGGAGGGCTGTTTCCTTCTTTGTGGTCTGCCTGAAGCCCGGGTCCGTCATGCCGGACTTTGCCGTTAGTCAGCATGGGGTCGCCCCGGCTAGGAGCTCTTTGCGAAGTACAACGGGGACTTCTCCCTGGTGGTGTCCTCGCCCTTTATCCGGCACCCTGCATCAAGTGCTGTGCGAAGCGGCGGTTGAAACCAAGATGAAGCCAAGTTGCATCGCTCTCTGCTTCGACTTTTGGGCCATCGGCAGTCTACTGCGATATTGCACAGAATGTCCATGCGCTTACCCGATTTGACCCTTGAGCACTGGCTGGCAGTTTTGGTTGCCTCCCAGGGTCCGTGTGTTCTGAACGTGCCCCGTGCTGGGAATGCCATTGGAAAGCACCATCGGAAAGTTCACAGCTCAACTGGAAAGCACGAAACCCGTTTTGTTGGGGCCCATCGCTTTCCCAGCCGCAGCCAAACTGTTGCCACCAGCTTGGCGCTTGCTAGGTGCATCGAGACTGCGGTGGAGGTCTGCCGCGTTTTCAACTGCGCTCTGTGTATAGACAGACAGCTGGGCAACTTGGCGGCACCAGCTGTGTATTTCATGCCGGAAAGGCTTGCAAGCCGACCATTTCAAGGGAGTTTGGGCCTCAACACGGCACCAGCTGGAAGGAAGAACGACCATAAATCACCCGTGTCTCTTGTTTGGAGCCATTTCGAAGGAAGCTCATCACAAATCAAGCGTGTCGCTTGCTTGGAGCCATTTTTGAAGGAAGAACGATCATCAATCACCCGTCAAACTCTTGCTTGGAGCCATTTTTGACCCAGAGGCACCCGAAAAAGAATGCAAATCGACGACCGCCTCGGGCTTTTCAGGCGAGGTCTTCTGCCCGGCCTACTTCGGGGCCTGGGAGGCCCCGGGCCCGGCCATCCGCAGCGCTGAGGAGGTGAGCGCCTACGTGCCCAACGACGTGAGGCTCGGGACGTCGGCGGGGGGCGGCTGGGGGTGGGGCGGGGGCGGGCGGGGGTGGGGCATGGGTGAACATGAAACCACCACAGGACTGCGGGTGTGAGTCCTTGGTTCCATTTGCCAGGCTTCTATTTTGGATACCCATGTTTGACCCACAGCCACAGGCTGGTAGGCGTGGACGACGACGGCAATCTGAGCGCTTCTGGCTTCATCGGCCGGGCCACCCAGCACTTTCATGCGGGCCGGTTGGCTATACGACTGGCGGATCTTTCGATATGGACAAGCGGCATCATTTTCGTCCTGCGTTGTTGCGTGTGATTCTGGCTCCAGCCCACCAGACAAGCCCTGCCATCTTTTCCAGCCCCCCCCCCGCCCAGGGGCCCGGCCCACTTGGCCGGAGAAGAATGGGAAGCTGCGGCTGGCGTCACGGGTGGAGCAGCTCACTGAGAAGGCGCTTCACTTCGGGGAAAGACTTGGACACAAGACACCCTGAATGTTATATCCGTATTATGTGAATTTCCAGAAAAATCAAACAACACGCACTGACATATGCGTGCATCGCGCTTGTTCATAACCCATTACTGCAACCAAAAAGAGATGGGAACAATTGGGCCCGTTTGCGCCGTTCACACCTCAGCGGTCGCTGCAGGCGGTGAAGCTCGGTGGGGCGAGCTTCATCCTCGTCACCCACGGGGATTGTGTGGCAGGCGAACATGGGCTGGGACGGAGAATCCTTGTAGTCCCGGGGCCAAGCAAAATGAAGCGGATAGCACCATCTCGTCGTAATTCTAGTTTGGAGCCGTTAAGCTAACCGGAAATTGTTGTATGGTTCAGGAGATTCCTGGGGGAGAGCACTGAATTGTCAGGGGGAGAGCGGAGGCAGTGATTTCAAGATTGGAGCTCAAGTGCCCCAGAGGAATTCGTTTTCAAACAGCATGTGGGGTGTAGCAAACGAGATCAGACTTTGAGCACTGCTCTGCTTGTTTCAATGAAGGCTCCTTGAACTTGTTGTGATATCGAGATCTTCAGGACAACGAGCAACTAACATGGACAGTATCGGACGAACCAGCTACATTGACCCCGGACGTTCTGAGAGCGTAATGGAACCTCGATTCTTGCCACAAAGTTGAAGCCAACATGTTTCAGCCAGTCATTTTCGGGTCCCCCATTTCTGAAAGGCACATGGGTGTGTCTTTTTTGGGGGCTCCCCATTTTTTTCATGGTTTTGCAGGGACACCAAAAGGAAAACCGCCATTTCTGGGGAGTCCCCTAGAAAGAGAGGAGCACCCACATGGGTTCTCCTAGAAGCAAGAACCGACTTCTTCCCAACCGGACGGGGTTCAATTTGGATTTTCCTTGTTTGTATCATGCTCCTAGGTCTGTACCTGGCATTTCCCGTTACATACAGACCCACATGGGTATGTGCCAACATAGGCCCCCCAGAACGGGGCGGTTTTCCTTCCGGCGATTTCGCGGCCCGCAGGCTGCCTGGCGCTGGGCCTCACCAGCGCCCGCAAGGAGCTCACCTCGCCCACGGTGTCCAAGGCACGGATGCGACGCGCGGAAGCAGAAGCGCCGACGCGCGCCGAAGCGCAGGGCTCCTCAAAAGATACATTTCGCCCATTTGAAACATGGCTTTTTCCACCAAAATAAAGGGACACCACCATTTACAAGGCAATGTTCAGGTGTATAATGTAAGGATCCCTGTTGTAGGGGACCCGTCGAAGACCCCAAGAGGGTTTTCTGTTTTGCTTTTGGTGTCCCTTAAAACCGGGCAAACAAGGGGGTGCCCTCAACAAAGGCGGACCCAAGTGGCTGTGTTTCGTTTTTTGGAGGGCCCCCCGGCTTTCGGGGGTTTTATGTGTTTTTTGGTTTTGGCAGTTACCACATTCGGACA